GGGGGCGGCAGGGGAAGGAAGTAAGAAGTGCAACCTTTATACGCTCCGCACACGATTAGCATTTTTGGAGCAGGACACTTCGTTTGCAGTTTCTTGCATGTTGGACAGTCTGTTCTGTCGCTTCTAGGAGCGCGAGGAGATTCTGCAGCAGGCCTGACCATACCACCGCCCTGAAGACTGCAACCTAGGCCTGCGGTGGAAGTGCAAGCTCCACAGATGAAAGCTTGGTTGCCTGGAACTCAGCTCGAGCGGGCCGTGCAGATGTGCGGACACGGAAGGAGGCGGCGGAAGCGGGAAGGGGCAGAAAACGCGAACGACGGGCGAGGGAGAGGAGGGAAGGAAGTAAAACGCAGGACCTTCATGTACAAAGTGTGGATTGCTTGCGGGGCCTCTAGCACAGCTGCAGTTTCTACAATTTTATACGGTCTTTCACCGGGCGTTTGTGTTGCAGGCTGAACTTCTGGCCCGCATCGCGATGCTGGAGGAAGACATCAAGGAGCGAACCGCCACTATTGTGCAGGCCTTACCGTACCACCGCCCTGAACACTGCCAACCTAAACAAGATTTGAAACCTGGATTCCACGGGGCGAGGCGGTTTGCATGCTTCGTGAACAGGCGGGTCATTTGGTGCATGCGTGTTCGTCAATTAGTCTCATGGCACCTATGTGTTAGGGAAACATGCGCACGGACTGCCAGGACGAAGAAATTTCCCGGGTGCGCCAGTAGTCCAACCATCAGGCGACACGTAACAGTAAGTCTTGGGTGCTTCGAGCCACACCTTTGCGAAAGAAAACAGGCCTGTGGCTATGACTTTGCAAGTCGCGAGTTTCCCTTGTCATTTCGTGCCATGGTCACCATAACCAGGTTCCCGATACCGATCCGGTAGCGGTAGGCTAGGCCCCAGAGCCGAGATTGCGGGCCGATTACGAGCAAAAACAAATCAGTTAGTGTCATGGCACCTATGTGCTAGGGAAACATGCGCATGGCTGCTCCAACAGCCAGGATAGACAAATGGCGGGCGGTTCCGGTAGCTCATAATGCCTGTCCGCTGCTCGCTCCGAAATGGGACGGGCACACTAGCCTAGGCCCGAGATCCCAGGACGGTATAAAGCAGGATAAACCGTATGAATGGCATTGCAGCAAGCTGCTCCACCCAACGGCTTAACTAGATCCCAAAATCCGCACCTATTTTGCCGTTGATTGAGGGACCATTTTGCTCCAGTCTTTGACGTTGGACACGAATAGCACAGCGGTCGCACGTCTTCTCGCGACCGCAACATGGGGTAGGCCGCACGGTACTTGATCGATGGATAGATCCGAAAAGCATAAACTCATCCGTCCGATCGCCCCGCATGGAAACCAAGCAGACGGATATCGCGATGTTCCCATTTTCGCGGACCATCATCATACTACCCAGCCCGAACCTCCTTCAGCGAGCGCGACCTGACAATGGCAGTATTGTTGTGAAGTTGAGAGTGAGCTTGGAGTTTTCCAAGCGACATAAATTGAATATACGTAAAGCGCAGGAGAAACAAGGGTCGGAGGCCGATGGTGTTGGAGCCGCGCACATACCAATCAGAGTTACAGGGACATGTATTGTTGCAAAGCCCACTTCATATCCGGATTCTCGAGGTTTTTGCATTGCAGCATTGCAAAATTCAGCGATGCCGAGTTCTTGAGCAGAAAGGCACTTCACTGGATGTTTGTTAGACCAAGCAGATGAAAAAAAAACGATTCTCTACAACTTCGCGAGTGCAAAGTCTCCCTTCCCACGCCCCAGGGGCAAAGAGTTCAGAGCGACCTTGAACGTCTCTTGCTTGTGACTCGAAGGCAGCGACAATCGTCGCTTCGGACGATACGCTCTGTGGAGTGATGCGGTCGGAATTTCGTCGGCAGCTTGCAGGCCAGTGGCGGAAAACAGCGTTGGCATTCCTTCTATGGTTTCCGGCCTGGTCACGCTTTCGTTGGTTGTTGGAGCCCGCCCCAACCATAACTCACAGAAGAAGAGGAGCGGCAAGTTGTAGGCACTTAGAGAACTCAAGTTTGCTTCCGGGCCGAAGCATTGCATGCGCACGACGCTTCACAGTCGAGCTGTGGGATCGATCAGTCTAGCAGGGTTGAGGGTCCAACAAACCCACACCCGAACATGAAGGGTTGGGGCTTGAGGCTTAAGCTTTGCGGTTCAGGGATTCAGTGGTTCGGGGTTTGCATGTTTAGGGGTTTGAACGCTTTCCCCCGTTTCACGCGTCGTCCTCGGTGCGGGGGTCAAGACGGGGGTTCAGGGAAAATGTAGGGCGTAGGAGCTGCGGTGTGTGGGTTTTTTGCTGACTGCTTGGATCGTCTTGGATGGCTTTCCTATACCAGCTATATCAGCATCGAAATGATACAACGAGAGGACGACTCGCAATCAGGCGCCAGAAGTTTTTCAGGTTCTGAAGAGGATCCTTAACTTTGTATTTGTATTGTGTGAAATCCATGGATCTGCTCCTTCTGTGATCCGTCCACGTAGTGGCACCAGGGAACGGCACCAGGGAACGACATCGACACTTCCGGTATGCCAAGGTCGGGTTGAAGTAGGATCAACGTGCAATTGCAAAAGGAATGACAAGGATCTGAGTTCGAATCCATCGCGTCCGCCTGCGAGATGGGCCATGTTGGCATCCGCTGTTTCGAAACGCTTCTCGCCCCTGGTGCATGCCGCGTGTTTCGCATGCAACACATCTAACGCGTCAAGAGAAACCCCGGCAACGGATGTTGATGAGGTGTTCGGTTGGCAGTTTCCGTTCCAGACTCTGGCAGACTTGTTAGGCTATCCTTGGCCCCAGCCGTAGCATTTGGAAGGCGCAGATGTTGCAGCACAGAGTTGCCATGACGCTTTCGGATAGGCGCACAGTCGGCGAAGAATTCGCCACTGACAAGTATGGCAACGCAACAGTTCATGGAGAGAACGGCCAGGACCAAGAACAAAAAGGCCGTGACGAGAGTGGAAACGAATTCGTTTTGGGTCTAGATGCTGAACTTATCAACGGTGCTTGCTGGCTCCAGATATCGTTTGCTGGAGTGGTGGTGTAGCAGCTGCCCAGACATGTTACGAACATGCATGCAAGTCACCGCAGTTCAGGATTTGCCGTTGGTCGGGTGTATCATCACGATATCTGACATAGTAGCCATTCGGCATGTATAGAAGTCGGCATCCAAGAAGAGACCTTGTATCGGGCAACATTCTTCGCCTTCTTCCTGTGAGCCCTAGGGGTGCTTTGCAGTTCTTCTGTGGTATCTGCCATTGTCACCGGCCTTTTGCTAGTAACTGCTAGTACGCTCATCCGGCGCTGGGCCGGGAGAGGGTTCTCTGGCTTGCCAAGCACGCCGTCATTCAATTGCAGCTTGGTGGCAGAATCAACACAGTTTGGGCGACAGCTGCTAGCCTTGTAAAGACCGGCATGGGCACAGTTGCTTTTTCCAGCATCTCGGTTTCTTGAGGACAGGATTCAGTTATGTGGTGGCTGCGATCGTAGGTTGAATCGATAGCTTGGATGCGATTTTGGAGCCACATGAGCAGCTCAGCGCCAACAAACTGACAGTCTCTCTCCAGAAGACGGTCAGCAACTTCAACATGAGAGCGTTTTCCTACAGCTTGTCATGGGTTCAGCTGCAGCAATGCCGCAGCTAGCTGTAACGGCACATTGTGCTTTGGTGTTTCTCCAAAAATTTTTTGGCAACTGCGAACCAAGCCCGTCATGCTGCATCTAGAAAAAATCCGCACGTTTTTGTCTGGGAAATTCAGCCGCTGACTACCAGCCTTGAATTGCAGGCCACTGAACCAGGGATCCATCTGATGCCAATTTCCTAGATCCTGTCGCTGTTAACCCCAGCCTCACGGCAGCTTCTGCCACTTCAAAACGAGTTTGGTTTGTTTGCTTCTGCACTCACGTGCTGCTTGAGCGAGACCCTGAGACTTCGACAAGTCCGAGTTGTGGGAGCGTAAAGCAAAAAAACACAGCGAGCCGAGGTGAACAACGGGAAGCTGGCATCAGTATCCTGGCCGGTGGCAGGGCGCAATGGGGTTGTATGGCACTGAAAGGTGGGCGGTTGTCTGAGTAGGGTCGAGCAGCAATGAACTGATTATATACTAAACTCACAGCCATTCTTCAGAATCCACTTTTCTGGGGTCCGGCCTTCTTTTCTTCGGCTAACATCAAACGGCAAATCCGGAGCAACAAAGTGGCTGCCCTTCTTGGATGGTTGATGGTTGCTGCGTTCCTTTTCAATTATCTGTATCACACCCGCATTCCGTAGCAATGTCCAGATTGGAACAAACAGAGTTAGTCGAGAACCTGCTTTCGCCAAGAACGGCATGTCTCCAACGCGTGGGATCAGGCTGATCGGCAGCACGCCATGGCCGCGGCTGACCCATTTTCCATTCCCGGGATGATCTCGTTGTCCTGCGGCCTCGGCATTAGAACAGGACCCAAGAATGAACGGGTGAAAGTGGGTCATCATGTGTGTTCAAAGAGCCTGCGGTTGTTTGGCATGCCCTGAAGCCCTCGGCTGTTGTCAAGTAGTTATTGTCGAGTCATGTGGGTGGCAGTGGCAGCGCGTAAACTCGCCCCGAACATTTCTGCAACCGACTTGTGTCGCAGTCTGGCTCGAGCAATCTCGGGCACAAGTTCGCGAGCAAAGTGCTCGCGAAAGCAAGGTGACGAGGGACTTCGCGAACATGAAAGTTTAGACAAGCAGGTATCAGGTGAGACTGTCTTAAGTTGGAACAAGGACGTGCTTCTCCAAGTGGGTTTACACGCGTTTGTGCCAGGGCCATAGAGATGGTTGTCGTCAGTTGCGCCGACATGGCAAGTGCCCCTTGGTTCTGCACGAACAGGCAACGACAAATCATCACTAAGGGTGCCTGAAAGACACTTGCGTATGCCTCCGGCGAGAGGAAATGAAACTCAGGCCGAGAGATTTGACACCAACCTCGAGAACATCCCCTGACGCATGTCGCCATGACAGAGGTCGACGCTTTAAGCACCGAGGATGACACGGTCGGCCGGCATGACGAGTTGAAGCAGTTGAGAGGTGCTGTTCGAGCTAGCCAGCACCAGTCGCAAGAGGACAGGCTCACCAAACAAGTTTTCTAGTCGTAGGAAGCAGCTTCGTGCGGCACGGTCGGTGCATGTTCGGGCAAGTCGTGCCTTACAGGATGTGGCGCTTCCAGCACTGGCATTGCCAAATGATCCATTACGTAACGGGGTGGAGGCATTCATCGCTCGCATTGGCCGCGGACAGAGCATCCGGCATGCGGCAGCATTGCCTCCAGACTTGCAGCATTGGGCCGCAGCAACTGACGAGCGCTTCACGCACGAGCCTCAGCCAGACAGGCTGCACGTCATTGTGCGAAGGGCCGCCCGACTTGCCTCTGTCCTTCACAGGTGGCTGCCGCAGATGCGGGGCCTTTTGCGAGACCACTGGGGTCACCAGGCATGTTGGCATTTTGGCGGTGTGCAGTTCTGGCAGCCTCGTCAGTCTCGTCTGCCGTCGTCCCAGGAAATGTGCATGCTCACGTCATGTTGCCACCAAGGTCGCATGCCTCAAGCATCCGGAAAACGAAGTGCAGCTAGCGGCTAGTATTACCCAGCAATGCAAGTACACGAACAGCGGGCTTAGAGACCACAGGTAATAGCTCCATTAATGATTATGAGTATGTGTAATACACTGTATATGATGGCACGGCAGAGAGAGAGGGAGAGAAAGAGAATGCATTGTGTATGTTTTCCGGAACTACAGAATAAAGACACAAAGCTCGTGTAAATCAAATCAATAGTACGCCTGTAACTGGTGCTTTGCAAGGCCTTTCGTGGCCTGCAGCTGCCGGTGATCAATGCGCTTATGTCCGGCGAAGATGTTTTTGCAGTGATGCCGACAGGTTCTGGGAAGTCCTTGTGCTACCAGCTCCCTGCCATGGTCCGGGACGGCACGACGATCGTTGTGTCACCTTTACTGAGCTTAATGGAGGACCAGGTTTCGAGTTTGCAGAGCCGTGGCATTGCTGCAGCGCGACTTGGGAGTGATACTACCCAGGCTGCCACAAAGAAGGTTTTCCAAGATCTTGCCGGCGGCGAGGTACAGCTCTTGTACGTGTCGCCAGAAAGAATGGTGGCAGCAAGTGATAAAACACAAGCTTCCGGCAAATTGGGTTCAGCTTTGATGCAGCTGTATGACTCTGGGCGGATGGCACTGCTTGTCATAGACGAGGCACACTGTGTATCTCAGTGGGGGCTGGATTTTCGAAGCGACTATCGCAAGTTGTCGTTCATGAGGGCCAGGTTTCATGGCGTGCCCATGTTGGCAGTGACAGCCAGTGCAACTGCAGCAGTGGAGAAAGATGTGCTGAAGAGCTTGCGAATGCAAGAGGCCGTGTGTTTCCATGACACCTTCGACAGGGCCAATCTGTTCATGGAGGTGCGCCCCAAGCAGTCTGAGGAACGTACAATTCAAGAGCTGGTGGATCTGGTGTCGGCGCCGACATCTCCGACCCCGGCGTGTGGTGTGGTGTACGTCCTTGCTCGGCGAGAGGTCGACCGTGCGTCTTGCCAGCAAGGAGAGAGCAAGGGGAAGGAGAGAGGCAGAGCGGAGAGAGGGGACAGGAGCTTCCCCCAGGGTCTCCGCATCTGCTTCGAAAGAAAGAGCGTGTGATCTGAGGTTCACAAACGGGGAGTGTGGGCAGGGCGGTACTTCGCTGCGCTGTTTCTAGAATGGTGGCTACTGTTCTTTCTGTTGGTGTTGTTGCTGCTGCTGTCGTTGCTGGCTGTTGGTGCTGTCGTCGTCGTCGTTGTGGTCGTGGTCGTGGTTGGGGTGGCGGTGGCGATGGTTGTGGTTGTTGGTCGTTGTGGTCGTTGGGGTCGTTGTGGTCGTTGTTGTCGTCGTCTCGTTCTTGCTCGTGGTGGTGGTGGTGGCGTGGTGGTGGTGGTGGTGGTGGTGGTCATGCTTGTGGTCGGGGTGGTTGTTGTTGTCGTCGTCGTTGTTGTGGTTACTGTTGCTGTATAGTTGTTCCTGTTGCTGCTATCGTTGCTGCTGTTGTTGTTGCAGTTGCTGTTGCTCTTGCTGCTGCTGCTAATGTTAGTGTTGGTTGTGGTTGTGGTCGTAGTAGTAGTAGTAGTAGTAGTAGCAGCACCAGCAGCAGCAGTAGTTGTTGCTGCTGCCGCTGCTGGTTTTTGCAGTTTGTTGCTTTTTGTTGCTGTTGCTGCTGCTGGTGTTGGTGTTGGTGCTTGTGCTGGTGTTGGTTGTGGTTGTCGTAGTAGTAGTTGTTGTTGTAGTCGGTAGGCGGTGCATCTGCCGCCGCGCGGGGTGGTGCAATTCCTCTGCTGGCATGCGCTGAAACTCGAGTTTTGGCACTTTCATCACCGGACGTTGAACTTTGCTTTTGCTTTCGCATCGGTTTTTGCGGTGTTTTCTAGCAAAAAGTGACCCCGCCGGCGGGCTGCACTGTGCAAAAGCATGTTCAGCTCTGCATTTCGCCTCGTTTTTTTCGGTGTGTTCCTGTGTGTCGCATATCGCATCGGTTTTTGCAGTGTTTTTGCTGACTCTCGACTTTCTGCACATGCCGGCTTCGACTTGCATTTGTCTTTCAGCTCTGTGCGGAGCTTGGGGGGATGGGGTGCGGGTGATGACGTCCATGCGAACGCGGCTTGTGTCTTCTGTTTCTCTTGTTGTTTCCTATGTGTCGCATTTCGCATTGGGTTTTTACGGTTTTCTTTTGCCGATTCTCGACTTTGTGTACAGGCCAGCTTAAACTTGCAATTTGTCTTTCAGCTCTGTGCGGGGGTGGGGGGGGGATGGGGGGTGGGGTGATGACGTCCATGCAAATGCGGCTTGTGTCTTCTGTTTCTTTGGTTGCGTTACTTCTCAAATGCTACCAGTTGCTCTGTCAACCCGTGCTTGCCGTTTCTTGTTGCTTCACTTTGGAAACGTCCACCATGCAAAAACCTCGAGTTTTCAAGCTTTCCAGACAAACGCTTCCCAAATGAGACTGAAAATCAACATAAACCGAAGACGAAAAGCATGGTATTTGCGACACTTCCGCGAAAACCTCACCAAAAACACAAGACAAAGAACTATGGATATTTTAAACTCCGATACATCGTCTTGTTGACGAAAACCACGCAAAACTCTGGGTTTTCTTCTGTTTGACCAAAAATCCTCCCGAGCATAAACGACACACCCCGCGCGGTGGCAGACGCACCGCCTTCCTTGTTGTTGTTGTTGCAGTTGCAGTTGCAGTTGCTGCTGCTGCCGCTGCTGCTGGTGGTGTTGGTGCTGGTGCTGGTGCTGGCGCTGGTGTTGTTGGTGGTTGTGGTTGTGGTTGTAGTTGTAGTTGTTGTAGTTGTTGTTGCTGCGTTTTTTTGCTGCTGTGTCTTGCTGTTTGTTGCTTGTTGTCTGTTGTTGCTTGCTGCTGTTTGTCGTTGTTTGTTGTTATTTATGTTTGTTGTTGTTGTTGCCATTGTTGCTGTTGTTGTAGCTGTTGCTGTTACTATTGCTGCTGCTGCTGTTGCTGCTGCTGCTGTTGCTGCTGTTGCTGCTGCTGCTGTTGCTGCTGCTGCTGCTGCCGATGCTCCTGCCTGTCTGTTGTCGAACGTCCGTCGTCGGTTGCAGTCGTTCCTTGTTTGTCCGGCTGTTTGTTTCTCAACTGCACAGGTCTGTGTTGGAATGAAACCGTAAAGAAAAACCGTCCCGGCAGTTTTCTCCAGGGCGGTTGGCCGCTTACTTGTGACTTCTACTATGTTTCACTTGTGACTTCTCAAGCCGTGCCGGAGAGGCGGCTCACTTGTGACATTTATTTTGGCTCACTTGTGACTTCTCTGACACACGAATTTGCAGAACGTCTCGGCAACAGTGCTTCTAATCACTTGTGCCTTCTCGGCCTTGTGGCTTCTCTGGCAGAAGACTTTGCAACCCCTGCCACTTGTGATGCCGGTTCTTCGTATACTGTACCCCCTCACTTGGCGATCCGGCTCAACTTAAGCACGCCCCCTCATTTGGCGATGTTTTGGTCCAAGATATCTTAACCACGTCCCCTCAATTTGACGATGCAGCGCGCCCCCTCATTTGGTGATTCCGGTTCAACATATATTTGGCGATTCCGGTTCATCATAAATATGAAACTGCAGGCCCGCTCATTTGGCAATTTGGCGATGCTACAAAATAATCTACCTTGAACACGCCCCCTCGTTTGGCGATTCCGTGAAACACGCCCTCGTTTGGCGATTGCGGTTCCCCAGATTCTTAAACGCGCCATAACGCGCCCCCATGCGCCCCCTCATTTGGCGATTCCGGTTCAACATCTATCTGAAACACGCCCCTCGTTTGGCGATTTCGGTTCCCAATATTCTCAAACGTGCCCCTTCATTTGGTGATGTTACTTCATCATCTATCTGAAACACGCCCGCTGATTTGGCGATTGCGGCCTATCGTATAATATCTTAAACACGCGCCCTCATTTGGCGACTCCGGTTCAACATCTATCTTGAACACGCCCCTCTCGTCTGGCGATTCTCATATTGTTAAACGCGCCCCCTCCTTTGTCAATTCCGGTTCAACATCCTTTTTATACACATCCCCTCGTTTGGCGATGCTACTTCATGATCTATTCTAAACAGGTGGGTGACAAAAACGCCCCCTCATTTGGCGATTCCGGCCTATCGTATATCCTAAACATGCCCCCTCATTTGGCGATGCCGGTTCAAGATATGTCTTAAACGTGCCCCCTCATTCCTCATTTGGCGATGCCGGTTCCCCGCATATTTCAATCACCCCTCCCCATTTGGTGGTTCCGCTTCATCATGTCTCTTAAACACGTCCCCTCATTTGGCGCTTCGGGTTCCCTATGTTCTTAAACAGGCCCCCTTATTTGGTATTTTTCGGTGCTACTTCATCATCTATCTTAAACACGCCCCCTCATTTGGCGATTCTGGTTCAACATCCATCTGGCCAAAGCGGCTCGCAGTGAGAAGTCACAAGCGAGACAAAATAGAAATCACAAGTAAGACAAAACAGAAGTCACAAGTGACCCCTCTACCTTGCACTCTCAACATGAGGGCAAGCTGCCGTGCCCTAATGTCCGCAGAAGATGAGGATCGAGCACTTGGCATCTTTGTATAGTTCCATGGACGGCCGAGGTGTGCCAGACCTTATGCGAACTTGGAGTTCCTTCGTGTCCGTACCACGCTGGGCTGCCAGCTGGAGTTCGCCGCGAGTCGTTTACGAAATGGATGCATGGGGAGTGCCAGCTCATCGTTGCAACTGTGGCCTTTGGAATGGGCATTGACAAGCGGGACGTCAGGTTTGTATTCCACATCGATATGCCCTCATCTATTGAAAAGTATCATCAGGAGATCGGCCGTGCGGGAAGGGACGGTCGGCCTTGCCGGTGCATTCTCTGGTTCTCGAGAGCCGATGTTGCTTCGACTTCGCAGTGCCGCCAACTTTTTCAAATTCTTGATTCTCTGGGCCTTTGGCTGCCAAGTAAACCCGCAATGCCTGGAGTACCCTGCAATGCTAGCTTTCCATGTCCAGGTTAAGCGGAACAAGGAGATGTCGCAAAAGCAGTACGAAGTCAAGAGATGTGAAGATGCCGGCAAGTTCTTCGGCGATGAAATCTGCAGACATGCTGGGCTGCTGAAACACTTCGGCGAGAAGCCTTCCTTTCAGAACTGTGGAGCCTGTGCAGCTTGCCTAGACCTACCTCCGCCTGTCTAGATGCCTGCAAGACTCGAACGTGCCTGCCCAGGATGTTTGCTGCCGCCAGCGGCTCGGGTTGGCAGCTCACGGCCAAGCTCCGCAACGCCGCTTGACCTCGTGGCTTGCTCTTTGCTTTGACCGCCAAGAGGCCACGTTTGCCTGCATCTCCAAGAATGCTTATATTCGAGGTGATGTCTCCTCAGAGTGTCAAAAGTTGTTGCAGCTGGCGGAGAGCCTGCTGAAGAATGGAGTTGCTCAGCCGCAGCATATCCGTTGAGGTTGCGGTGTTGCCATGTCCCTATTCCAACCATACATCTGGCATTGCGAGCAGGTCACTGCAGCCAAGCTTCGCGATGCAGCCCGGAAACGCAAGGTCGATGGCACGAAGGTGCCTCCTTGAAGTGTCACAGCATGTCTTGCCTTCCTGCAGCTGCTGCTCTGTGCTTGCGACAGAGGGAGACGGAGCCATGCGGGGCTAAATGGGGCCGAGCAGTTAAACCCAAAGCAGGGCCAATGCAGAAGAGACCTCTCCTCCACACATTCTCGAAGTAGGCGCTTGGATCAAGACCTTTCGGGGTCCCATACCCGTGGCAAGGACGTAACGAAAAGGGTGTAAATCTGTATGTACGTCTAAGGTACAGCACCGGCAAGCCCCCAAAGCCCTCAAGCATCCGCTTTGGGGCTGGCAGTCTTCAGGCGTTTTCAGCAGCTGTTGCGGCTTCCGAGCATGCAGCTGCATTGAAGGCAAGTTCTTCCTCGGTCATGTTTGAGGATGTCATGCATTTTGCGTTTCGATCTATGTAAGCTTGTGATGCCCATGTTCAACTGGAAGCTGCCCGGGCGAGAAGCGCATGTGACGTCGCTGGCGAGTGGTCTAGTCTAGTCATTGCCAACCCTTGCGGCTTGCGGCTTGAGGGTATGCACGAAGCGCACAGCAGAAGCCATAGGAATGACATGCCTGAAGCCGATTACAGTGCGATCGCGTGCATTGACGCAGGACTTCAGCCTGCTACCCAGCAACTCGTTTGTGCGACGGATGCTCTCCACCGTCTGCCGTGCGTCACCGTGCGGCATCTTGCACTCTGTCGAAAGGCCACAGCCAGGTCGAGGAGATGATCAGTAAGCTCTTGCAGAACAAGGCCCAGCATAGCATAGCCAGGCAGTGCACTAGTACACAAATACACTCGCTGCCACAGGTGCTGACGGAGTACAAGGAGAAGATGTTTGGCAAAGGAAAGGGGAAGTTCAAGGTGGATGTGCCTGTCTTGCACTGTCCTGCCATCCTGGACCAAAGCATACAGCATCGGTCTTGAACAGAAGACCTGAGAAGAGATGACGTGTTCAGGTCCTCAGGCTGAAGCTGGGCCCCAACGCAGCAGTCCGGCGGCAGAAGAGATTCATGCAGGGAAGGTCGTGGTTCGATCAGATGCGAGCACTGGCATGACAGTAAGGAGAAGCTGCGGCAGGGAACTCTCAAAGTGCGGCGAGACTGCAACGATGAGAAAGTTGCGGATCACACTTTTTGAGCGACGACGGCCAGACTCCAGACGTGCCGTTCCTTCAAACATTATGCACAGGCACCTGCCTCTGCCGGGTGGCTCTGATGCAAGCACAATCCGAGTGGAGGCGCCAGCAGTTCTGCAATGGCGTGCCGGGATGCTTGAAATCAGTTGTGTTACTACATGCAGGAATCGGAGCCCTTACTACCTCCAGGCGCGGTGGAAGCACAAGCAGAAGCAGAGCATGTTGAGGACGCTGTGGGGCCAGATTGTGATGTAGTTGAGAGTTGCATGACGGTTGCCGAAGGACGTCCCAATGCAGCCTCCGCAGAAACGTCGGTTGAGGAGGATAACTCAGGACTGTCACACACTGCCGTGCGCGTGGTTCCAGCTGCGCCCCAGCTTGATTTCGAGAGCTCGAGGGAAGCCCAGACACACGTCTGGATCGCTGTCCCATCCCCAAATGATTGGTAGGTGATGTCGAGTCCCGTCGCGGAATAGAGCCCCAACAAAGGCATTTGCCAGCTCGTCAGAGGTGCATTTGTGCGTGCGTTTAGCACTTCTTCCCTCCCATGACCGCCATTGGCCGCCGCCGAAGCCCGAACCCTAGGTTGGGCAAACTCTCACGTTCCGTCAGGTCAGCTTGTCCAGATCATTGCTCGAGAAGAAGAAGCAAACTCTTTGCAAAGCACTGGGTCATATGAGCAATGGGCGAATGGGCTGGAGAATAAAGAGGAGCAAACCAGGGCCGGAGATTTTAAGAACGAGGAGGGGTTAGGAGCAAACCGCCACAAGGATCAGAGATTGTGAGAAGAAGGAGCAGACGCCTCGAGAGGATTTGGGTCGATTGCGGGGAGCATTGTTTCCTGGCATTAGTTCCAACCTTAGTCACGGCCGGGGACCGCGCACGACGCCAACCCACTCAGCAGGCTCCGAAAGAGCATTTGTCTGGTTTTGAAAATGCATTCGGGAGTATTTTGCGTGTCCTATTCGTTCATGGAAGCAAGTTTCCGTTGGTCATCATCAGCAAGCCGTGTGTCAGCTATGGGGTTCGAGGCCATGTAGACTCGCGTGCCGCGGTTCCCAGGTCGACCCCTGAACCACTCAGCCAAACTGACATCTGCTCTGCGCCCGGGCAAACTCACATCTGCTTTGCGCCAATTGCTCCTAGCCGCCGAAGCAAAGCTGTCGAGCTTGAGTGGATGGAGCCGCGGAAAGTGACTCTTCTCGTAGAGGACTTGGCATGCCGCGCAGGTTGGACTAGTTTGGTAGTGGAAGTCTTGCAGAGTTCCTGCTGCCGACGTTCTCGACATGTATAGTGAACTTTAGTCTTTAGTGGCTCATGCAAAGTTGGAGGTTGCGGAGTCTAAAAACGATGAGGACTTTACCACGAGTCCTGATTGCTGTCATCCACGAGCCTAAGCTCCAAGTGACTGAGTGGCTTCGGATCTCCTGCTTCGGGCGGTGGAGACCGGGGTCTCCAAAGAGCGCTTCGCAGGAAGCGGAGGCCTCGCTGCCTTCTGCCGACGCTCCCTGCGAGGCCCTGGAGGCCGTGGCCTAGGGGTGTTTTTGAGGATCCAAGGTGGTCTTGCGAGAGGCTTTTTATTGAAACTTACCCTTTTTCGAATCTGCTTCTGAGGTCCCGCCTCTGCCGGTGTCGCCGCCCAAGAGACGGAGGCTAACGTCATCCAAAGCCAAAGCAGTGGACAAAGCAGCTGCGAGGAAGGACAGGTTTGGGGGATCCGTGGCCAGTTTCGTACTTATTGAACTCTTCTCGGAAAGCTACTCTGCAAGGCGAAGAAGAAGAGACAGAGGGAGAGAGAGCGAGAGAGAGAGAGAGAGAGAGCGAGTTAAGGACTGCTCCCGCCCCAATCCCCAAGCAAGAGCGAGAACAAAAACAACGAGGCACCGTGTCCTCTGCAACCCATCGGAGGGAGGGAGAGTTAGACCTGCGCCTTCTTCGAGGAGACCTCTCCTCTGGCAGCTTCCCGGCGGTCCTTGCGAGCGGCGAAGGTGTTTTCTTTCGGAAGCGATGGCAAGGCAATGCCTCTGAATCTCGCAGCGGCAGGCTCGCCTCTTCTCGCGTGCAGACGACCCGATCGAGGAGGAAGAGGAGGAGACCGGAGCTGCTGCCTTGACGGTCCCGCACCCCTCTCGGCTTCGTGATTCCAGGAAGCCGTGACACCTGGAATGCCGTGGCCTCCAGATGTGCCAGACAGCTTGGGGCTCAGCTTCCGGACGGGGTGATTACGAGATGTGAAATGGGCCACGCATTCTGAGGCAGCGGCGATGAACTCGTCTGGGTAGGTGGTGGTGAGGCGATGGGGCGGTCTTGCAGCTTTTCGCCATGAGATTCTGTATGACTGTCGAATGGAGGAGCTTCAAACAGCGCCAAGTCCAAGCCCGAACCCCGATGAATGTTCGGGCTCTCTTCACGAATTCTGCAGCCTCTTGCTGCTTGCACCAAGGTCGCAAGCGTCGCGAGCAACGCCATGAGGCGGCCTGGCTGGATTTCACGGCCGATGTGCGTATCGCAGACGTCACAGCTTTGGTGCCAGAATGTGCCAGTAGTTCATTGCGTTGGGCGCGGCGCGAGACTTTCTTGGTTTTCTTGTGGAGAGACGAAATGCGTGTCCACACCATGTAGCAGGCTACGTCGTAGATTTTCTCTTTGATGCGATTTTTATCTCTTAGACGTAACCTTGTCCTACTTACCCCCCTACCCCACCAGCCTACCCCACCTACCCCACCTACCCCACCTACCCGACCTACCCCACCTACCCCGCCTACCCCGCCTACTACCCCGCCTACTACTACTACCCCGCCTACTACCCCGCCTACAACCCCGCCTACCACCCCGCCTACTACCCCGCCTACCCCGCCTACCGCCACTGCCCCACCTACCCCACCCGCCGGGCCTACTCCCAATACCCACAAGACGAAAACGCTAAGGGGTGAATCCAGCGAGAACCCATTACCCAAGACGAAAACCTTAAGGATTGAACTACAGAAGACGAAAACCCTACAACGTGAACCCAGCGGGAACCCTTGACCGAAGACGAAAAGCCAAGGAGTGAATCCAGCAAGAACCTTTTGTTCAAGACGAGAACCCTACGGAGTGAAGCCAGCAGGAACCTTGGACCGAAAACGACAACCCTAACGAAATCCCTAAGGAATGAATCCAGCCAGAACCTTTTACCCAAGACGAAAAACCCTAAGGAGAGAATCCAGCGAGAACGTCTTGCCCAACACGAAGATCCTAAAGAGTGAATCCTCTGTGGAGCGAGTGTGAGCGTCGAAAGAGTGAATCCAGCGAGAACCCTTCACCCAAGACGAAAACCCTAAATGAACACTGTGTGACGCTTTTGGCTTGGTGCTAAATACGGCACAAGAATTGTGGTTTGGTGCTAAACACGCCAGAGAAAGGCAATGCACCAGAAAAGATAGTACCTTGGTGAGAAAGACACCCCAAAAAGCTACAACGAAGATGCCTGTTTTGCAACCCTCTGCAGAGATTTGTTGTTGTTTTTGGAGCAGAAAAAGTCACAACTCAGTCATTTTGCTGAAAAAGCTGGAAAGTTACGTCTTCATTTGCACCATCTTTGCTTGCTTCCTGTCCTGGGGTCTGGCACGGGAAGCAATCGCCGGCAAAGCCGTGCCACCCACTCACCCACTCACCCACTCACCCACTCACCCACTCACCCACTCACCCACTCACCCACTCACCCACTCACCCACTCACCCACTCACCCACTCACCCACTCACCCACTCACCCACTCACCCACCCACCCACCCACCCACACCCACCCACACCCCAGAACCCCCCTCCCCCCTCCTTACCGACCTACCGACCGACTCACTGACTGTCGGACCACCGACCGACCGACGCTCGACCGACCGACCCACCGACCCACCGACCCACCGACCCACCGACCCACCGACCCACCGACCCACCGACCCACCGACCTACCTACCTACCTACCTACACACACACAGAGACAGAGCCTCCATCCTAAGGCAAGAAATGAGGCAAGAACCCTTTCAGAATATCGTTGCAAGTCATTCTGAGGAACCGGCTTCGCCGTCCAAAGCCACGCAGCCTCCCCCACAGCCTGCAGCCCCTCGGCGAGTCCCTTGGCCGAAGCATGTCATCAGATGCCACGCCATGGCAAAGAGACGGGCAGACAAACAGCAGTGAACATTGGATTCAGTGTGGACAGGAGAGAGGAGGGGAGGCAGGGAGACGAGTTATTGAGTTACTATTACGTGTCCACACCATCGTTGCTCGCTTCCTGTCCTGGGGTCTGTCATGGGAAGATCTGGAAAGCGAAGTAACCGACGGCGTAGCCGTGCCACATGGAAGCGCAACAGGCGCACCGGTCTGTTAAACGGGCGTGGGTTCTGCAGCTCCTGTGCTTTTGTTGTGCCTTCTGCACAGAGCGTCAGTCTTAGTCTTGGGAAAAAGTGGTGCACGTCATTCTCAGGCCACGACTTCACCGTCCGAAGGCCGTCGGCTTCCCTGGCCATCGCATGGAGCCGCGCAGCCTCCGGTGCAGCCTCCGGCGCAGCCTTTGCAGCAGATGACGCAGCCTCCGCTGCAGCCGCTCCATTCCCCGGTGCAAGTTTCGGCTCTGCCTGCAGACGAACAGGGAGACTCTTGGCCGAAGCAGCTGTGCATGTTAATCAGATGCCACGAGATGGAAAAGGCCCGAATGCTGAAGAGCTGGCAGAAACGGGCAGAGAGCAATTTTCAGAAATCGAGAAGCAAGCTGCAAGCTTCGTGTGTTTACGCGGTGAAAGGGAGGGGAGGAGAGGAGCAGGAGTGGAGAACAGGGGCAGAGGGAGAGACGAGTTACGTATCTACAGCATCTTTGCTTGCATGCTGCTTAACCTGGAGTCTGGCATGGAAAGCAAGCGACGGTGTAGCGCGCAACGCGCTGCACCCTGTTAAACGGGATTAAACGGGCGAAAGAAGGAAGCAGAGGGAGCGGCAGCGGCGGTATGCTGCAGCTCCGGTGCTTTTGGCTGTCTGGGATAGCGGTGCGCGTCATTCTCAGGCCGCGACTTCACCGTCCGAAGGCCGTCGGCTTCCCTGGCCATCGCATGGAGCCGCGCAGCCTCCGGTGCAGCCTCCGGCGCAGCCTTTGCAGCAGACGCCACAGCCTCCGCTGCAGCCGCTCCATTCCCCGGTGCAAGTTTCGGCTCTGCTTGCAGACGAACAGGGAGACTCTTGGCCGAAGCAGCTGTGCATGTTAATCAGATGCCACGAGATGGAAAAGGCCCGAATGCTGAAGAGCTGGCAGAAACGGGCAGAGAGCAATTTTCAGAAATCGAGAAGCAAGCTGCAAGCTTCGTGTGTTTACGCGGTGAAAGGGAGGGGAGGAGAGGAGCAGGAGTGGAGAACAGGGGCAGAGGGAGAGACGAGTTACGTATCTACAGCATCTTTGCTTGCATGCTGCTTAACCTGGAGTCTGGCATGGAAAGCAAGCGACGGTGTAGCGCGCAACGCGCAGCACCCTGTTAAATGGGATTAAACGGGCGAAAGAAGGAAGCAGAGGGAGCGGCAGCGGCGGTATGCTGCAGCTCCGGTGCTTTTGGCTGTCTGGGATAGCGGTGCGCGTCATTCTCAGGCCGCGACTTCACCGTCCGAAGGCCGTCGGCTTCCCTGGCCATCGCATGGAGCCGCGCAGCCTCCGGTGCAGCCTCCGGCGCAGCCTTTGCAGCAGACGCCACAGCCTCCGCTGCAGCCGCTCCATTCCCCGGTGCAAGTTTCGGCTCTGCCTGCAGACGAACAGGGAGACTCTTGGCCGAAGCAGCTGTGCATGTTAATGAGATGCCACGAGATGGAAAAGGGATCGACTAGCCGAGGCCAGTCGAGCATTGCCTTCGCGGGCAGCCAGACGAAACGCACTTCGCATAGTCGGATGCTTGGAGTATCAGCTGCAGCGGCATCGAAGGGTTCTTTGTGGTAGATGGAAGACTAGTGACTACTGTATGTTATGAATTGTGGGCCACGCCAAAGACCACGAGCTCCCATGTCTGGGCAGAGCTCGGAGACATCTGAGCCGAGGCTGCTCCGGGTTCCAGCTGAGAGCACTGAGCATCGACAAAGTGTGGAGGGCTAAGAGCCTCAAGAAGAGAAATGTGGCCAGGCAGGGAACCAATGAATCCAGAGGTTAAGCATTAATGAGCTGAACCTTCATTAAAGATTTCCGCGGGTGTCCAGTAGTATTGCATTCGGCTTGGAATCCAAATCTGGCAGGATTGCACCCAGGGTTCCAACCGGGTTCGTTTAGAGTTGAAGGCAGTGCCGCCACATCCCAATTGCCCCGGGCCTAGAACATCCTGAATCTTGTGCTTACAGGTTTCCACCCCCAATTTCCCCGAAAGAATCCTGATAATTTGATGAGAACGTTCTGTTGGCGTCCACGATCAGATCATGGCGTTGTTGTTTTCAGGAGGTAGCGGGCTTTGAGACTCCAGAGTGCCGCTTGTGGACTTCAGAGGACAGTTAATCTCCACTCGTGGATTCATTGGCCGCCACGAATGCTGACAAAGCCAGCACGTGGTGCGTCTGCTGCCAACTGGGGTTCGACACTTTGCGCCTTCGCGAGTGTCACAGAAAATGCTGATGACATGTGTCGCATTTGCAGGCAGCACAGCAGGCTAAAAGTGCAAGCGGCGACACTGCATGCCATCAGCTTTTCGAACGTATCGTGTGCTCGGGGGAAAATCACATGTCGACTTCCGTGCGCCAGAAAACCATGACGAGTTGATGACTCTTGGAATGTTCTTGTCGGCAGTGTTTATGGTCCAAATGGGATATGACATGGCAGACAGGAGAGTCAATTTCAAACGTATCCAACTTCGACATGTGTTTTTTGCAGTATCAGCACTTGGCCGGCATCCTGATGCCATTTTCAACGTCCGAAGACGCACGAAAGTCATCTCCAGCCAGGCGTGGGCTTTACAAACTTGTGTTATCTGATTCAGAGACTTGGCCGTACTTGTAGGGAGTGTGAAACGAAGAGGGTGGAGATTCGGGTGGGGGCTATCATGCCGAGGTCTGGAATTTTTGGTTGTTCAAGAAGTGCACCCCGAAAAAGGTTGATCGCGAGTGCCGCAGCCGTGCCAAGCCACTTTTTGAATGACCGATGCAGAATGCGACAGCTTGAGAAGCCGAGCACGGCTCGTGATCGGAAGTCCTTAACCTCAGAGGTCACGACTTCCATCATGCAAGTGGCTTGAAAGTGCGGCTTGATATACGCCAAAGATCATCAACAAGTGTGAGACACATCTGGCCCACTTGTGCAAGGTTTGGGGGAAGTCGGGTCGGTCCTTGGGGTTGATTCGCGAGTGGGTGAAGCACCGAGCGACTCGGAGGCAGTCCGAGAGTTCAAGAGCGTGAGAAGGAAGATCACCACGGGGAGCCCCAGTCAGCAGCTAGTACCTCAGTAGCTAGTACCCTTACAGATCCTTGAAGTACAGTAACCCTCTTGCATCATCGACAGATCTATGAGGCGCAGCTAAGATCGACTTCGTGTGTCATAGCTCCCTGGCCGGAGGCCGAAGCTTGCGGAGTTCCACAGGTTTCTGGAACAGTTGGGCTCCAAGGCCCACGTGCCACTGCTGGAGGGATTTAGATTAAAAAATGCCTGGGAGGGAAGAGTTGCAGATCACCCTCATTCAAAACATCCCTGTGTCACGAAGGCCTGGGCCGTATGCGGCCCTTCTGAGATCTCTGTGTGCTGTGCATCTCTTGGCATCCACTGCGAGGCCAGGGATGGATGTTCGCCTCCTTGGTCGTATTTCGATGTAACCCTGCTCTGCCCTACCATCGGCGCAGGACGACGCCGTGGCTCAAATCTTTTCGGAGTTGGAGGAAGCCTGCGGATATGTCTTTGAGACGCAGGCTGGCCGCCAGCGAAGTAGAAGTGTAGAAGCCAAGCGTGGGCGCCTTTGTAGGGTGCTGGCTACATGACTCGTTCTCTCCGCCAGTATTTCCCGGTTTTTTGCTTGCGTAGTTAGCGCCGGCTTGCACAAGCACCTTATTCTTCAGCAGAAGCACAGCCTGAGCCAACGATGAAACAGGCAAAGCCGGAAGTGGCTGCAGCTTGACTTTCAGAAGTTCTTTAAATGTTGCCCGCCGTTGAATCCACTCTGCCCAAGGTTTGCGACTTTCTGGCACACATATATCATACCACGCCTGCGGGGCAGGAGCAGCTCTGGGCTTATCGGGCTTTTTGGGCGCTTTGCGCTTGAGAGCCCCGTAGCAACATATCATATGTCACCATATGTCGCCAGCTTGGCAGGTTCGGGACTCACTTGGGCTTCAGTGGGAAAATGCTACTGCTAGGGAATGGAAGTAGAACGGTTGTTCTGCAGTTACACTGAATTTGGAGGGATGCAGTCGTGCAGGACTTCAGCAAGCTGACTGACGCAAGCGACTGTGCCACAGCCATCCCACGCTTCGAAGAGAGGGGTCTCTTGCTGCAGCATTATGCGGCGCTGATGGACTTCATGACAGGCAGGAGTGGCACCGTAGCTGCTTAGCTGTTCAGGCTTCTCAGGAATGCTAGCAAGCTGTTCACACCAGTATGGCTGAGTTGGCCATGCCTTTTGCAGGCATGACTTCGAAAGATGGCTGTATTCTCGGATGGTATGATCGGGAAGGCCAACTGCCCTCGATCCAGCTGGAGGATGCCAACATCTACCAGGCCCCATCTGCATGAAGAGTTCCTGGTGTGGCACGTGCCGCATTCAATTTCAAGGTGAGTCACTGGGTCCTTGAGCCTTTGACGCTTCGTGAAGATATGAGTCCCTTGATTGTGTCATGCACAGTTGAGGCAGTGCACGCACCTCTGCACGAGACTTGCCCGGTCGGGGGGCGGGGGTGCCGAGGCTATGCAGAGATCGTGACCAGCGACAGCAGAGAAGCAAGCCAAACATGGTTTGTCTCGCACTGGTGGGGAGAGGCCATGGGCCTGGCCTGCGCAGTTTTTCCTCATGTCGCTGTGGTGTCGTGGTCTGTCATCTCGTAATTCTTGTCAGATCACAGTTGCACTTCTTCGTCAATGGGTCCCGAGCCAGCAGAAAGCCGAAGGCCATGAGTTCCTTCGTGAAGAGCTTGGGCAAGCACTCGGAGATCCGTGGTCTTCGATCTGGAAGGAGATCGTCGGCAGCAGCAAGTCGAAGTCTCTCTCTCTCTCTCTCTCTCTTTGTCTTTTGACTTGGTCTGGTTTGTAGGGTCGCCTACTGGGCCGCCTGGAGTGCGCTGGGCCCCGGCGAGCGCGCGGGGCCCAAGCCGGGGCGGAAGACCGCGGCGCTGCGCGCCCTGCGCGGTCGCCCCGTCCTGCTGCTCGCCGGCCCCGAGGCCGGGAGGAGAGCGTAGCTTAGAACGGAGTACGGAGGAGTGGAGACTCGAGACGCATTCTTCTGATGCCAGGCCAGGGCACTGCGGCGTCACTGGTGCATGCTAGAGATGGCCACCTGTCGAAATGCTCTCCGCATCGAGGCCTGTGGCTTTCTCTTTCGCGGCGCTTCCGTCAGAAGCCAATCGCGCAGTCTGCAGGCACAGCAGGCTGGGGGACTGAAGAAGCCGAGCATCGGCCGTGGCCTGCTGGACGTGGTAGCCTTGCAGCCCGGTTGGGAGACTTCCAGATAGTGTGGAGACAGAGACACTTGCGCTTTCCATCGCGCCCAAACTTTGGTGAATCAGGCGAAAAGACATCCGACGTGGTCTCCCTGTCGTGCTCACGGACGGGCTGACGCAGATGGAACAGGACAAGCCTTAGCTGGTGCATGCGTTCAGAGGCTTCGCAAGAAGCCTAGCAGTCCGGCATCTGAGAACGATTTGACTCGGAGAAAGGAGTGGGAGATGAAACATCGTGGAATGGGCCAGATTTGCAAGACTGACAGAGAGAAGGATTTCCCCCTTGAGGCCGGCAAGCATTGGTGGGACTCATGTGGACCTTCGGTGGGTGGTTAAGTAGTCGTCGAGATGCTTGCCTGCGTGAGGTTTTCAGCGCCGGGATTGTCATTGACTCGGCGGAAATGGAGGTCTCTGATCCATCGGACAGGACAGGGGTAATGACGGCGGGAGGGAAGCACACAACCGCCGATATCAAACGGGATTGATGTGAATGTTGCAACAACTTGTTGAAGCAGAAGGCGACTTCAAGGGAAACGGTGTCGGCACTGACTCCTGCCATGGGTGGCTTGAAGACTCTGCCGGGATCAAACGGAGCCGTTTGCGTGAAGGCACCAGTACGTCAACCAAAGTTAGGATAAGGAGTATCTGCAGTCTGGGCCTCTTTTGTGTGTCCATGCCCCCACCTCGAAAGCAATGAACATAGGGTGCCCTTGGTTCAAGCATTCCCCCTTTTCTAGGACGTGGATCTTGGAGTTCATCGCACAACGATCCGGTGAGCAGCTCCGTGGCATTTCCATCGGGTTTGTGAAGTTGTCCTTTGCTCTCAGATTGGCCTTCAGTTGCGTGCCGAGGGGCTTGTGTGTGTCCATCCCAACCAAGTGGTCCACGTAGTATAAACATGTACTGGCAGATGCTCACATAGGTATGCAGGGAGACGTGTGCCTACGCACTGACATGCGCTTTCAGAGACAAACCTACAATCCACCCATGTCTGCTTATGCAGATGACAGAGCACGCTCACACACGTCAATGTAACATGTACCTCATATACCATAACCGAACACATGCGCAAACAGAATAGACATAGCCACATGCAGTCATGTACATGTGCAGTCTGTGCATACAGTGTAGGTGGACAGGTAGATTGGTAGGCAAGTCTGTCTGTGTGTTTGTTTGCTTGTGTGTGTTTGTTTGTTTGTTCGTTCTGTGTGTCTGTCTGTCTGTCTGTCTGTCTTTGTTTGGTTGTTCGTTTGTATGTTTGCATGCATACATGCATTCAAGTATGTATGGAGGCATGGATGGAGGGAGCGAGGGATGGATGGTTGCGTGGAGGGAGGGATGGAGGGATGGATACATGCACACACGCCACAGAGGTACAAGTGCAGAAACATAGATTCGCATAGTAAGCCGAAGGTTCAGGGATCTTCGGCGGGAAGACTGCTCAGTTTGGTGCTAGACCCCCGAGGAGGGATCCTGCCGACCTGGATCGGTCCTTGCGCAGCTTCTTCGCTCAGTCGGCCCTTGCCCAGTTGCTGCATAGGCTGGGTCGGAAGTTTCGAGGCCGAAGCGAAGTTGCTTGATCTCCGGAGTCTTCCTTGGCCACCAGGCAGATGTCCATCAGCCCATTCTTGAATGTTATCGCCGCCCACTCTTCAGAGGAGGAGTACCTTCCTCCAAGAAGTGAAGCCACGTGCCCACCTCCTCAGTTTGCTTCGATTCTGCAGGAGCTTGCCCTGCCGTGCTTATCCCACACCCTCAGCGAGCCGGGAAAGTTTTTGTCAGACCTCTCTCCAACTATTTGCTGCCTCTCGCAGCTGCGATGCCTCAGACTGGACTTCGGCTGGCGCAGTCTTTACGCGAACCGTGCCGTGTTGGCATTTCGCGGGTCTCAAGGTGTTGCTGTGAGGACGAGTCAGTGTGCTGTCGAGCCCAGGAATGATTTCCAGCCTTACCTCCGTTGCAGATCTGGGTGCTGGAATCAGGCCAAAGATTAGAATTCGGCCTGGAATGTTTTGCAGTCAACAGAATTCAAGCATCCCGGTTGCAAGGCCGCTTCGACAGCTTGAAGATCTTGCGATTCGGTTGAGTGGCTGCAAGAACCTTCAGAGCTTGGCTGGCTTGGATGATGCATTGGGCCAGTTAGCAAACTTGAACCGTCTCGAACTTCACCTGCAGTCTTGCGAACTACTTCAGAACTTCATCGAGCTCGGGAGGAACTTGGGTCGTTTGGTCAACTTGACGTCCCTGGACTGCTGTCTCGGTGGATGCCCGCGGCTGGTCGACGCAGATGTGCGGGAACTGGGGAAAGGCATCCGGAATCTGACCAAACTGAACCAACTGAAGGTGGATGTTTCGGGTGCCAAACGTGTCTTTTACCTGACGGAACTCGGACGGAGCATTCGCTTCCTTCGAGACCTGCGTCACCTGGAGATGGATGTGTCCTTGTGCACGAATTTGTCGGATGTTTCGACTCTAGGCAACAGTATGAGGATGCTTCTCATGGAGACCGCAAACTTCCAGCCGAACTCTGGATCTGTCTTTGCTCTGAAGCTGGAGAAATCTGGTGTGCGAATAAACAGGGAAAAAGTCAGTGGTTATGACGAGCCTGTGGTCCATTTGGCACGTTCTTTGTTTCCTTTGCAGTGCATCAGCTGGGGCATGCACTAGGTCACTAGGCCACTCGATGTGCGCAGCGTCTGCTTCCGTTTGCTGACAAGGATGCGACCATGTTCGTCAAGTCCTTGGGAGTGAGGGCGCTGTGCGATCCTGACGAAGCTGATCTGCGGCCACCATCACCCAAAGGCCGCAATGTCGTGTGGCTCACACACCTGGAGGAGCAGGAGATCAAGCGCAGCTTTCGTGTGCCGATGGGCTGCCAGGGTTTTTTCAAAGGCTGTCCACGCCTCTACTGAAAAGCTTGGTTGGTTTTGTAACTCTTATGTCAGCTGCCTGCCAGGCATTCTGTGCATGAAGTGCTTGAACATGGAGCCTTGTGTACTTACAGTTATGTTTTAGAGATATGTCAGCTATGTGAGATATGTTTCTCTTCAGTTGCATTCAGCAAAGCTGGATGCCCAAGCCACTACAGTTCCGCCATCTGCCCGAAGAGTTCGTGTGCAGTGTCTTTGCTAGGCAGGTGTCGACGAAGTCGAAGCACCTTCTCCTAGCTTCCCATGGTCTCGTTGTGTTTTAGGGTTTAGGGTTTAGGGGTTTAACAGCCCAGCTGCAAAAAAGGGGTTTAACAGTTTAGGGTTTAGGGTGACCTCCGAGAGGATCCTGGCGGTTGAACAAAGCTGAGAAAAGTCGGCAGCAAGAGATGGAGCAAGTCGCGATTTCCGGCAGCTTCCATGCCTAGGTTCCTGAGTAGTGCCCGTTTGCCTTTTGTATTTTAGGATCCCCTTGTTAAACCGAATAGTAGGACAAGGGGTACCCTTATCAAGGGGCTACTCAGAGACCTAGATGCGTGCTGACATGTCGTCAAGGTCCATTCAATCGCTCGAGCTTAAGCTCAGGCTCAGACATGGCATGACATGGCTTGGATGGCAGCCTCAATCTGCTCATATGTCCATCTCACAGCCCTCCAACTTGCCACGATAATTCGCAATCACCCGGAAGTCGGTGGGGATTTTCACATATCTGAGCGGCTGCCGCCTGCAGTTCTCGGTCCTGGGGTCTGTGACGCATGGATCGCATCGCCCTTGGTTCGGTTGCGCCTTGTGACAGTGTAGCGCACCCAAGAGCAAACCCTACAGTGAACTCGTAAATGGAGGTGGCGGCCCCTTCAAGGTCTTTGTGGGCGGTCTTCCGCAGGATTCCGCCTGACCATCAGCGTTTAAAGACGTGCGGGGCGATGTGCTGTTGAGACCATCCTTACGGGGAAAGGGTTACTGCAGGACTGCACGAATGACATCCTTGTCGACTACTTCGGAAAGTTTGGCATCTGAGACAGGAATTATGGAGTTCGAAGGAATCCGAAGGAACAGTGGGAGCAGTCAGGGCACCAGGTTACCAAGGGATTGTGCGCCCATAGCCCGAGGTCGCGGTTGCAGGCTAGGTCTTCTTAGATCGGAGTCAGGCTTCAATGCAGCCTCCAAGGAAACATCACAGACGTAGTGGTGATGACAGACCGGGCGACTGGCCGATCGCGAGGGTTTGGGTTTGTGTCTTTCGACACGGAGGAGGCAGGATGCCTCAGCTTCTCCAGGACGAGGAGCTTCCAAACTACATGGGTGCAACAAAGCATGCGAGATCTTGTCATGCTCATTTTGCATGCGGGTGTGGGTGTGTGAAGGCAGGATCAGCTTAACAGCCGTGGGTATCCTCCGTCTCTGTGCAGGCTGTTGACAGCATTATGGCCATGCGCAATCAGCACCAGATACAAGACAAATGGGTGGACTGCAAAAGGGCATTTGCCCCAGTGGGTTGGCAAGTTCTTTGTGTCTTAGTGATTGTGTAGAAGCGTAGGCTTCAGCACGAGGGTTGTGATTGATTCGGCATATCTGAGCCCTTCACTTCCTTGCTTGGAGTCGCAGTTGATTTTGCAAGCCGCTGAGACGTTTCGCTTATTGACAAAGAGCCAAAGGCACGCACACACAGGCTCTGGATATTTCACAGAAATATGAAATTGGTGCATAACATCGATTCGCAAAACAAGCCAAGTCGTTTGCCTCCAAGCTCTTCAAGTCTTCAAGCCTTGGCGCCAAGGCGACTGCTGAAGGAACCAAGGGCGTTCCACAGAAGGGCGGTGGCGGTGGCGGTGGTGGTAAAGGCACAGGTGCCTCGGCCAGATTCCGCACATCCGCTGTTTGAAGAGCTTGGGTTCGTAAAAGCGATCGTGGCACTCCAACCCCAGACAGGCTCCACTAGGCCGCCTGCGTCGAGAGCTCCGTCGTACAACGCAGCACCACCGCCTGATTACAGCGCGAGCTCTTGCAGCAGTAGCGTCTTGGCTTCCTGGCATGTGTGCACTGTCAGTTCTCGCTGTAAGATCGTATCCATGGCTTCGATGCCGGTGTAGGCTATGGAGCCGATGCTTTCGGGGCATACGGGGCCTATGGAGCCGGTGCATATGGTTATGATGGCCTTTATGGTGCCTACGGCACAGCTTATGGTGGCGGCTGCAACGGCCAGGGCGGCGGCTATGCTCCGAGCAAGGGTTGGCTCGGTGGCAAAGGCTCAGCTGTTCAGTCTTTCGACTGTCTTTCTTTCCGTGCGCATGGACTGAGCTTGAGCTTCCATCCGGAATTCTGCAGTGCTGGGATGTGTTGGGCGCAGGTGCTGAGAAGGGCTATGCTCCATACTGAGGAAGCCCATGTAACCTGCATTCCTTCAGCAGTTGCAGCCATGAAAAGAGCGGCTTGCTTAAGACGAAGACCTGACTCAAAGCAAGTCTCCCCCCGGAGGGTTCGCAAGAGCCGTGAAAAAATGCCGCCAAAAAGGGGCCTCAGTCCCCAGGGCTTGGAACGCATGGTTTTTTAGCCATGTGAATGTATGAATTCTCGGCCGTTGAGCTGCAGTGGCCCCATGTAGTTATAGTTCTTCGAAATACCCGGGAGGGGAGCTGTGCAACCATGAGCAAGCCGGACTTCAGCCACCTGAGCCTGCAGGTCCGAGCCCAAAAGGCTCAGCTTGTCCCTGAGAGCGGGCCATTTCTTTCGACTCTGCCGCCTGAGGACAAGAACTGCACGGCCTTCCACAAGTACATGGAGTCCAAGGGTTACCAGTTGGGTGATGTACCTGGGCGGAGAAACATGATTTCTCTCAGGGACATATTCTTTAATCTTGACAGCTGTTGATATAGTAAAGGCATTCTTCCACTCGCAGCCACCTCTTCCAAAAGCAGGATTGGTTGCTGCTCTCCCGACTTTGATGTGAGCCTGGCAGGCGCTGTACGAGTATGGCAAGACCTGGAAAAGCTGGGGAACTTGCATCGTGTGCGAGGCCGCACATGCACAGCTTATTGCAGCTCACAGCACCATTGAAGAACGGCGGGTTTGCGCTCACGAACTCCGGGAGTTCCAAGGCACATGGCCTCTTCGACAACTTGTAGCTTTTTGTTTGTTCTCCAGGTTGACTTCCCGGCCAACGTCGCGCCTCGTCGTGAAGTGCATGGCGGACATGGCCTGTGCAGTAATTATCAGTGCCTAGGCCTACAACCCTGCCCCTCCCGGTGTGAGTCCAGGCCAGCCACGTTTGGGGCAAGGCCCACTGCAACAAGTTGAAGGCAAGCATGATCTGATTGAACACTGCATTACGGTTGTATCGCAAATGGAATAAATGGACCGATGGCTTCAAGGTCCGGCACGTAGAGTAGGTTTGCTGGGTGCGTTAATGCCGTCCACCGTGCAGGGATGCAAGTTTGAAGTCTGGCAGGAGAAGCTTAATTGGCAGGAGCCGCGTGATCCACAACAGTTGAATCAGTGACTTGCTAGCAAACGGAAGTGGGGCTCCTTCAGCCGAAGCCGCGATTCACGAAAGCCAAAGACGACGGCCAAAGCCCCACCACGCTGTCGCGGCCTCAGGTTCACCCAGTTCTGGAAGCTGGAAGGCCGAAAGCTCGGGAAAGGGTGGACCCCAGTTTTTGTTCGATGCCGTGCACAGTCCTTTTGAGCGCACGGCGTTTTGTGGATCCCTCCAGCTTCGGGGGGTGGGGCGAGTTGAGTTGACTCACTTTATAGGGAGAATCAGAAGCAGACGACTTGCCTGATGCCTGTGGCTTCCGCCTTAACCACCAGGCTACTACAAGCCTGGCTATTTCTTCAACCACATCACGGGTGAACAGCATCTCGGATTTTTACGTCGCTCTCTGGGGAGGATTCTTGAGTCATAGTTCCCAGGGGCCGGATAGATGGCTGTGGTCGCGTCTGTACTGAAGTGATCGAACGAAGGGTACTTGTAACCCCGAGCGGCAGGCTTGCTTGCTTGCTTGCTTGCTTGCTCCATTGGCATAGCTGTCGCTGCAAGTGCTGAAGTATAAGCAAGACAATCACAAGACCAGCGAAATGAGCCTTTGCTAAGGGGACTTTGCGACTTCGCACCACCGGACGCGCCTGCTTCCATCCAGAGCGTCCCGACTCCGATGAGCGTCGCTGCGCCAATGCCCGGGCCGCCCCAAATGCAATGTCCGGCAGCTGCACCTCAGGACCAGACTCAGACCCATGTCACTGAAAGCCAGTGTTGAGTTTCCACGGTGTTGCTATCGTCAGAAGTGGATGCCGCACACTCGCGACACCTCGCGACGGCCTCTTTCGCTCTGAGCATGTTTCGGTGCAGGAGATGCCTGCTACCAGGCCTCCGGGTCAGCAGACAGGATCCAGGGAGAAATTTCAGTTCCAAGCTCCAGGGTGCGAGGTGAGTTTACGAAAGAGGCCTGGACAGGCTTTCGGGTGTGCTGCTACAGCTGCGTTTGCGTGACAGGCCAGCAGGCGGCTGCCTCCTGGTTCCACACAGCCAAGGCCTTCCACCGGTGCGTTCAGCTCACCTGCTGTTCATGGGACTCTGTCATCTGTTGTTGAGGCTACATCAAGAGCATTCAGGCGTTGGAACTGTGGAGAATGCACATGGACAGCGCTGCGGCACTCGGTTCCCAGCTCACGTTTTTGTGAACCTGATGCCAAAGCCGGCTCCCAGCTGTGCTGTTGCGCAGGACAAGACGGGATCCGCGCTGGATGGGGAGCTGGAAAAGACGGGTAGGTACGATCACGAGTGCATTGTCTGCCAGAAAGCCATGACTCGTGGCGCCGGTGATCATTTAAAGTCCAAGAATCATTGGAAGCTTGGAAAGCACATATTTGGAGGGCACTTTCAGGTGAATGTCCATTCCGTTCCACTTGAGACACCTTCGCTTTGAGAAGATCTGCTTGAGAAGATCCTTCGCATTCCAGGGCCGAGCTATGGAAGAAGGTCGGCAAGAACATGCCCCAGCCAGACCTGGTCTTGGAGAAGGGAAAGCCCTGGTGGCAGGAATTTGTGGTCCCTCAAGGGAAGTGCCCAAGTCCCAATTGGCCATGTCTCTTCCGCGCACGCTTACTTCCTTGCACAGAGCGTTAAAGTGATATGAAAAGATGCGAAGACCAGGTGCATTCTGAACCATCTGACGGGTGGCCTGGAGATCGCCGGAGCAGAGCCTGCAGGATACGCCAGTGGATGCAATGGCGCGGCAAATGGTGCTGTGAGCCGCTTGGGACATGACACGTCCTTAAAGTTTCTTTTCGCGCTTTAGGCGCCTCAGTCCCTCAAGGATGAATTTCAAGGTTTTGTTTGGCTTATCTGGAATGGCTCCAGATTCTAGCGGGGCTACATCAGAAGCATTCTGTGGGTATCGAATCCTTGCTTGCCTCGACTTTTCCAGCGCAAGGTATGCCGGCTACCCCCGCTGCAGCTCCCGTTCAGCCGGAGTCCGAGCCTGGTGCACCTCCTTCGCAGCCTCTGTCTCCAAGTGCAGATGCTGCTGGCATGTGCCTTGGCAGACCTCGGTGGGCCTAGCATCGAAGTTCGCCATCTGACGTTCATATTTTTGTGGACCCACACCACGACCGGAGTCTTGCTCTCGAGGATCGTGCCCCACGGTACCACTTGGCGACAGGCTTTGAGTGAGAGCAAGGACAAATGGCGGACGTTCATGGAGACCCGGCTGCACTTGGCATTGCTGCGAGGCTTGAAAGGTACTGACTCTACATGACTCTACAGTAACCGATTTCCCTCCACCTCTGCACATGCGAGGAGCCAGCAGCCACAGTGCTGGAACAGAAGGTGCAAAGCGGCGAACAGAGATCGATCCGTGTTTTTCATGTACCAGTCCAGTGCTATGACTGTCCCAGATCCGCCTGCTGCAGCATCAAGCTTGTTTAGCTACCCATCCGCCTTAGTGCCCGGCCAGAAAAAAGGGCTCGAAGAAAGGACAGGTCACCTCTGGAAAAACAAATTTTGAAGAACGAGTTGAGTATGGTGGGCGATGAGCGGCTAACAAAGGTCTGAAAAACTCCTGGCACTCGTGTGAACACGTCCTGAGGGCCTGCACTTTTTGCATTGCGATCTCGCTCAGTCACTGAGCCTGCTGAAACGGATTTGGCGGAGGAGGCATAGTCTTCATGAGTGCATGACGTCCTGAACGAAGACGTGTGTCTGGTCCGCTTCATGCTAATCTGCTTTCAAAAAAATGAGAGAAGAGATGTTTTGCACGTTTGGAGCTGTAGGAACTCAGGTCCTTGTATGTTCGTGTCATCACAGACGGCCATGACATGAGAGACTAGCTTTTGCCTTATCTTCTTTGCAAGATTTGATTAGAGTGACAGGTGCCCAACAGCTATGAGTGCATGTGCACCGTCTGCGACAACAAGGTCATGACGAGAGGTGCCAAGGATCATTTAACATCCCAGGGTCACTGGATCCTCGGCTTGCTCAGAAGGTTGCGAAGCTGTTGGTAATGTCCGGCAGTGTGATCTCAACCCTTGCCATGATCATGAGGAAAAATTTGTGGGACAAGATGCAGAAATTGAATCGGGACCTTCCCCCCGACAACGTGCGGGACTTATTGCAGGGCAGTTTATCACTACGCCATTGTCATACTACTGATAGTGGGTGCTATATTGATATTGTACATTGTAACTCTACGTCTAGCTGCTGTCATCACTGCACTGCAGGTGGCTTGCCAGATGACTGCCCGGCCGTGGGTGCAAGAATTCCCAACCGCTTCGGGAAAGTACGTCTTCAATCACCTCACTGCTGGCCAAATGCTACAAGGCAGGCGGTGCTCCGAATCGGCAGCTGCCGGTATGTCTTTGTACGTGTCTGTGCCCATCTCAGGCGGCTCCGCACTCCTGCAGCCGCTGCAGCCTCAGGCGCTTCGGGCAGGGTCGCGATTCGTGCCAGGGCTCGTTCGGATTCTATGGCATGATTCGGCTATGACGGCAGGGCCAGGCGCCCGCGATGCCGGCACCTCCCATGCCTCCGGTGCCTGCGGTGCCCGTGCAATCTCCGCAGATGCAACCTCAGCAGATGCAGGCCTCCTTGCCTTTGGTTTTGCAAAGCGACATTTGGCAGGCAGGCTTGGGAGAGGAGTGCATAGACTTTTCAGGCCCCGCCGCAGCCTATGCAGCCTGTGCAGCCTGTGCAGCCAGCGCAGCCAGCAGTGCCGATGCAGCCCAGGATGCAGGTGGGCGATCCCGTACCGAGCTGCAGCCGTAACTCAGCTCGAGCGGGCCCTGCAATCAGGAGGGAGGCATGGTGGTCCGGAACGGGCTAAACTACAAAGAGGCCGGCTTGTCCGGCATTGTTCACATCGTGACTTTGGCATCGACGAAGCCTGCCGCAGGCTCTGGCTGAGATTGGCAAGTGGAAGAAGTTCATGGCAACCTGGACTGGAGTGCACTGAGTGCACAAGCAGGCGAATCCGCAAGCTTCCTGCCATGGGGCATCATGGGGCCAAGGCAGAGCCCACGGAGCGACTGGACAGCTTCATCTACCAACTCATGCCCAACTACACCGGGAAGTGCAACCTGGCAACATCCTGCTGTTCTTGCACCCCCCCGTTTCGAACGACCAATGGTTTAGCTCGAGCGTTGTTGCACGGAAGTCGAAGTCGGACGTTCGCAGGTAAATCGCAAAACACAACTGCGAGACACGGCATTTCAGTGATTCACTATCATACTGCAGGAGGCCTAAACCAGTTGTTTTCTGGGCGGAGAAGCTGGGCCAGTCAGATTCGGGCATCTCGGAGATGGCCTTCTGCACTTGGCAAGGATTGCTACAAGCGAGCTGGAATCTAGACAAGGAGTAGTTACTTGTTGGCCATGTATACGGATGATGGCAACAGCGAGAACGTGCTGGCGACTTGCCAGCAGCAGCAAAAAAATGCATTGAAATGAGGAGTCCTGTTCGGTCTCTCTGAGCGACCGTCTTTGCAAACATGTCCAAGAAAGAAACGAAACAGAGAGAGATGGAGAGATGGGGGTCCCTTGGGGCCCTATACCCCTTCGCAAGCAAGCAAGCAAGATGGGGGTTGGGGGTAACAGCTCGAGAATCTGAAACATACTCAGTAGCAAGTACAGCGGTCAGTGGCACCCCAAAGCCGTCCACTCAATAAAACCAGTGGGTGGACGGGCGGGCTGAAAGCCTGATGGTCACGACGGTGACCCCTAAGCCCGGCAGAAAGAAAAAGAATGGAGAGATGGGCTTAGAGGGGACCTGTGAATGCATCCGTGTCGTCCTTCCTGTCACTCCGATCTTCAAGTCCTCCAGTGCGTGGAAACGTGCTGTGGCCGCTTGCACGAACGGACCTTTGCATGCGCTGAAGAAGATGGGTTTAGCGCAGCACCTGCTTCGGAACATGCTTGGCTGTTTTCCGCCGAATGTCAATCAACATAACCATGTCGCCGGGGGCCAGACCAGTGGATTCAGTTCTGCCCCGCTGACATGTGAATGAGCCACTGCGCGGCGTTCGTGTCTAGAAGAAGCACGGTAGCACGAAATCAAAACGCAACAGCCGGACAATGCCGCACACGCAGGAGCCTCACTCATCTCAAGCAGGTGTGTTGGAGGGTGTGTGCACATTCTCAGTGTCGCCTCGCCGCACACGCGTTGAGGGATGCCAGGTCATATCATTGAATGGAACGTTTCATCGGATGTGTCCTGAGGCCTTGTCTGCCAGGCTGATATGCACCTGGGCTGCCCATGATGTCTTGTTCACACGGTGGCTGAACAACGTTTTGGAACGTTGGACAGGGTGTTCCGTGATTTGTTGTATGCGGCTTTGCCACGCCGTTCCTGAAGAACTGTCCACAAGTGTAGTTCGCGACCGTCGACTTCGGGTCGTAGATCCAATGCTCATTATCACACCCAGCTGTTTGTCATCATGATTCAGTTTCTTGCCGCCGTTCCTCTCCACAAGAGTCCGAGCACACCCATGAGGTTGGGCTTCAACACGCACATTTGCAGTCAGCCGCCTGGCGAAAACGATGAAATCGGGAGCCCAATCCCGAAAAGCTCAAAAACCCTAACCCCCAAAACCTCAGCCTGTAAGGCGTTCTGACTTGAAGGATACTGCGAGGAGGCAACCAGGTGCAAAAAAAACAACCCTCATCCCTGATCCGTGCCTGCCTCGTGCGAGAGTGAGAGACGAAATCCTGAAGCTCGAATCAGGAAGCACTTCAAGCAGTTATGGGCAAGGATCGGCTCAAAAGGAATCCCGGACCCGCCGCGACCTGAGACGCGGCAAGGGCCTTCTGGGCTGATCTCTCGAGTCGAGTCATTCAAGATGACGTTTGAGCCACAAAATTTCACGATGTACAAAAATACATGTGCATACAAATGTGTTATATACATATTAAACTGTTTGTTTTACTTACCTACTTATCTTTTTGTCTGTTTACATATTTATCTGTTGATTTATCTATAATAAATCATATTGTACATGTATTTACGTGTATATATATATACACATATATATACACACATGTATATCTAGAAAGTCTTTGTCCCCAGGTCGACGGTAATGGACTGGAACGCAGCGTGGGTGGAGAAGATAGCCTCTCCGGTGGCAACTGGCAGGACAAGTCTACCACGATAGACCTAGGCATTTTTCGCGAAGACTTGTGGGAGCAGAATTGCATGGCCGCTTTTCGTTGCGGAGAGCAGTGACGACCCTGAACGAGTGCGTGCGTTTCTACACACTTAGGAAACCCAACGACGCTTTGCCGCATTCATGCCTTGATCTGGGTGTGTTTGCCTCGCAGCTCTCCAGAGGACACTCTGGTTTTCAGTTGCATATCTGACGATTCTCTGCTATGTCCTGACAAGCGTTTGATACCCGCGTGTTCCCAGGTGGACCATACCTGCTGAACCACCTGACTGGTGAGCAGGCGAAAGCTGAGCTACCTTCAACCTGAGTTCTCATCTGGCTGGAAAAATTCATTCCGCGGCTTTCAGCCAGGGCTTCCAAGCGGACCTGCTGAAAGCGCCCGCCGGCCCTTCTCCGGTCGCCGCTCCCGCTACGCATGCCGCACCGGATGCAGGACATCCACTCTGCAACATGCGATCTTTTGCCCTGCCAATATCCTGCCAGCATTGTCCCATGGAAACCAGGCTACTCCCGTCCTCCAGCTCCGACACCGGGCCCAGTCGCGCAGCCTCTGCCGCAGTCACTGCCCTGGCATGCCGGGCTGTCCAGGAATTTTCGTCGGAATGCTTGGGCCTGAGAGCCGACCAGGCCTTGTGCAGCCCCTACGCCTGCGACGAGTTACAACATGGACTTCCTTCTTTGGCAGTTGCCTGGCTTTGCAGCACAGGCAGTCGAGGTGCAGAGCTAATACCTGACACGATCACAGGCGCCTGGTAGTGGCGCACTCGTGCAAAGCACGCGCATTCCTGTCGGCTTTTGCCCGATTCGCGAAGATCTTCTGAGCATCATTGCCCCAAGGTGTCAGGTGCGGGATCCCGCTGAACGATTGGAAGAAGCGCTGGAAGAACGTGGGAGCCATTGTGTCCTGTTGTGTCCGGTTCTGCTAGTTGAACAGTGCCGCATGTGCTGCATGGGGCTTTGCGAGGCTATGGGATGCTATGGGTAAAGGATGGTCAGGGGTCTCATCGGCTCGCCTTTCATCCCCTTTCCATCAGGTGGCGAAGAAGACATGTGGAACGATCCAGTCCTGGAGTGTGCGATCTGTCAGAAGAGCATCGACAGCGCCAAGGGCTCCGTGAAGGACACCTGAGTGTGGATGTCTGAGTGGGTAGCAGGGCTGCTTTGGCCATGGCTTGACCGGCGAGGCGCATCTCATGTCCTTGGAGCATTTCCAGCAGCTAAAGGCTAGGTGCTTGGTCTTCGTGGGCCGCACAGCCCCAACAAAGCACAGCAATTGGAATCTCAAGCTTTCGCTTCAGCTGAGGGAAAGCTACACCAAGAGCTCACGAGGCGGCATCTTTCGTTTGCTTTTGGGACGATGAGCTCTCACGTTTTGGCTTGCTCCGTGGCCATCAATGCTACCCTTTTTCAGGCCAAGAGTCCATGTCAAAGTTTGGCAAGAGCAGGGAAGTCCTTGCTAGTATTTGGAGTAGGAAGCTGTAGCATGCAGAGGCTCCACAGGCTACGGAGAAGGGGTGCCAAGATCTTGAGAATGACCCACTGACAGGTTGGGTTCCATGGAGCTGGTGATGCAGCAGAAGCACAAATTTTGCCAGAACTTCGATGTAGCTGCAGTGAGCTCAGCATACGAACCTCCATCCGAGAACCATGAGATGCGTTGTTGAATGTCGTGCAGCTGATGCGTGCAATGTTCCACTAGCACCACATCTCTTTCCTTGCGACAGCTTCCCTTTCTACTCACGATTTCGGTTCTTTTTGTTCGCTGGCCCCGTCGTCAATGTAACTTCCTCGGGAGCTCGGTCGCTGCATTTTTCGATGAGAACGAGCGAGGCCTTCCAGCACCTCAAGCCGGAAGTGATATACCAGTGAGCGTTTGACGCAGAAGTGAGGGTGTGGCAGCTTCACTTGAGATGCACCCCTCATGGAGGATGCTACCTCCTTGGCATGCCTGTGCAGGCTGAGAGAGATTGCATAATACATCGATGGCCACAGTGCTGGAAAGTAGTTAGGATGCTGATAGGCGCCGGAACTACGATCAATATTTGCATTGGACGACGAGACGCGAGATATGACGAGAACGAGGACGCAGGAGAATAAGGATGTAGCCCCTCGGTTCTGCGTCATCGTGATTAGTGCTACCATAAGCTCCGTTGCTGACACGGTCGCAATTAGGGTGATTACGACAAGCAGCAGTACAAAAACAGAAGAAGGGAACCAACAACAGCATGAGAACGAGTCGAGCCTCTGCGACCACAGGAACAGCAGATGAGCACAGCCGTTACTATCTCATGAAGCCAAACGGAATGGTTTGCTGGGCTCTGTGATAGAAGAAGGCTGCCGCGGGATGTCCACGAGCATCTTCGTTAAGTGCAACTTGAACATGTTTCACATATCTATAAAGCCGGCATCCACGTGCCGACGTACGCAGTATCGGTAGAGCTCGCACAGAATTGCCTTCGAGGTCCACGAGAGTCGTTGAATCACCGGCTGCTTCCGGTAGCAGAAGTCTTCCATGCCGGAGTCGATTACGTAAGAACCAACAGGGTGCCTTGTTCTGCTGTCTGAGGAGCTGTGGATAAGTTGCGAGTCCTGGAGCCTTGAACAATGTGTAAAAACTCGATCGTCTGCAGCAACGCGACAGCCCAGAACGAGGCATGTGATGATGATTAGTGCAGTGTGCGACGGCTGCGGTCTTCGTGCATGCGTTGCTAGACCGGGGCCGGCTGCTGCCCCTGCTTTCAATTTTAGTCTTAGACCGTCTTGACCTCCATGTTCCATCAACTGGCGAAGCTGTGTGCAAGTCTTGGTTGATATGGCGCATGACGACTTGAGGCAAGCTCGGGCTTTGTTGCGAAAACCTGCTGCCGAGCCACGGGAGTGCGATCGAGTGCCGGCATGCTTGTCCATGTGTCTTCGAGGCAGGGTATGAGCCTGGCATGGCGACCAACTTGGGCTCAAATGTAGGGGTGGATGCAAAGCTTCCAACCTGGGAGTCTGGACAAATGACATAGCTTGGGCCTGAGATTCTGCTGTCGCCAAAAGCCACACTCCCGCGTTGCAGATGAATTGAAGTTGCCTGGGCAGGCTCCAGATTCGGACCCGACACAAAGGCCGCCGATGGTCACAAATGCCATGCGAACATGTCGCTGGGACCTTTGTGTCCCGCGATCGCCAGGACTGCCCGTGTCATGACGAACCTGAACAGCCGATCAGGCAGACACTTACAGTGTTCCGGTGCATGTGCAGTGTGCAAGATCAGATCTTTCACAGTGTTGGAGACAGGCTTGGCTGCAGGTCGGTTGGCGAACGGATAAGATTAGATTGCCTCCCTGAAACTCTGACATCACGAGGTCTGGGAAATTCGGCTGCCAGTGCAGCTGTCGCAGTTGCGGCAATGGCCGCTGCCGCTCCTTGGATGCATGACCGACTGCTACGCGCATCTGCATAGTTTTGCGTGGTGAAAAACAGACATGTCTCACATTGTTGCAAAAAATTCGTGAACTGGAATTTGGACAAAAGGTGGTTACTCTCTAGCCGAGGCCTTGGCTGCGGCTGGCGCTGCTGCGGCGGCAGGGCTCGCTGTACTGCTTGCAACGAGCGCCGCCGTGGTGACCGGCAGCGCCAGGCCGGCTAAGGCAATATCCCCATGCCACTTCATGAAAGTAGCAGCAGTCGCGGCAGCAACAAAACAACGAGGTCAGTACAGTATGTGTCACTACAATAATATGCACGTGCTTCGAATTGGCAGCAGTCTTTCCCGCAATATCCCACACGACGTACATGTACTACGCATGCATGTGCACGTGCACATATAAATGCACAGGCACACACATCCACATGCATATGTATATACATGTACACGCTCACACAAAGCATACATGCAAAACACACGCATGTTGTACACTCACGCACGCATACATAGGTATGTACACATGCACCCATGCATGCATAGGAGGGCATCACGAGACCGAGCCGATGTTTTCAGCGACACATCCCACTCAGCCAACCCTTTCCAGGGCTGCCGGCACCTCGGAGAGCTCACGGCCGGCGGAGCCATGTTGGGCCTTCTGTGAGGATGAGGACGTTCATAGGCTTCACATTTGTAGAAGGTCGTTTGGTGTTTCTCGGCACTTGTCGCACATGCTGTACCCGATTTTGTGCGATTCTGGTTTCAGTCATGCTGCTCTGACACACGGGCCGTGGGTCAGTTTGCTTTCAGAACTGTCTGGATGTCGAGTCCCAACACGGTCAGGCGTGAACTGTTTAGGCTTCTGCCGGAGGCTCAAAGTGCAGCGTGCCTGGGCGTTTTTCTTGGCATCGCCCTTTGCAGCTTTCTGGTGCAGGACAAGTTGAGCACTAGCTTTGCTACTGTCTTGCCCACAGGCCGACGCGGGATGGGGTGTGGCATGCGAAAGCTTTCGCGATGTTTTTTCTGGGCTCCACCCCTTTATGTACTGTTGAGGCTCGCATCACGTGGAACTGGATGACTTACCTTCCACGCTTCTCCCGTATCCCGACGAGCCAGCCAAGGCCGAAAAGCTTGGTCTGTTTGCCAATGCGTTGCATTGGCGTTTCCTGCGGTCGCAGGTGCGCAAAGTACGGTTCAATCTCACTTTGTGTCTCGGATGCAGCAGGCCCAGGCCCTATGTTGCGAGATGAAAGTCTCCGCGCGACTTCATCCCTGAATGCCTTGGTCCGGTGGGTCTCAGTCTCGCATGTGTCCGATCAGCTCAGGACAACGGTGCATGAAGTCACTCCCTACTCTGAAGTCTACGGCATGCACCCGCTCCTCTGCAACAAATTTGGGGGGAGAGCGGCTCTGTGTGCGCACAACACTGTACCATCTGGCGAGGCGATTGCTGAAAGTCCAACCGGGCGAATTCTACTTGCAGCCAGCCCCTCGACGAGACGATCGCAGTGACAGCGAAGAGGAGGAGACTCATTTTGATATCGCGAAGCATCGGCTGGCCAGCTTGTGTACGTTTCCGCGATATTTCCGTGCCGATCTTGGACCGCAGGTTCATGTCAAAAAAATGTCAGGTTTGATCACAATCCAATCATGCAAAGCGGGAGCCATGTGGACTTGCATTGAGCTCCAGCCAGCAGCTGGTCCATCAGATCTTAAAAATGTCATCAGTACCCTTGAGATGACGTCCTAGCACTGACAGTCCAAGAGACGGAACTAGGGGGCACATGCACATCGGCATGGCCGCGTGCTGCCATGGGTCGCCATGCGTGCAACGCATGGTGAATGTGACGCGCTCTTTGTCGCTGTGGAGGGAGGTCTCAGCTATGAGGTTTTTCTGCTAGGCCTAGCAGATGGTCTGACGGGGCTGGAGCCGGACGTCCTTGGCCGGCACGTCGTTCCAGCAGAGGCACTGCTGCGAGCCCTGCCGAGACTGTGCGACTTCTTGGCACCCCGGTTTCTTATCCGTGCCACGAGTGTCCAACAGCGGTTGCGAAGTCAAGGGCTCCCCGCTTGCCAGTGCTCAGCTCATGTCTGGTCCGGCTTGCTGGATCGCCTGAAGCTTGCCAAGCTTGCACCCCGAGAAGAGCTACAGGGCAAAGTCCGAGACTTGCAGAGGCGCTTCCTTCAACTGGCGAAGGCCCGAGAAGCGATGCCCCATCCCTCAGCGGATGCATCACTTATAGCCGCAGAGATTGGGAGTCTGCTTGATGCGCTTGCTCTTCGAGCTCCAGCAAAGTCGAGGGGCCCCAAAGCTCCATCATCTCTGGCGAAGAGTGATTGGGAAGTGGAGGATTTGAGACGCATTGCTGCGAACCCCGGCTTGGGACTCCAGGCCTTGTCTAATGGGATCAAGGTCATTGCGGGTCTGCAGCAACTGCTCAGGGCTCGCTACCCTGGCCCCGGCTCGGACCTGTCAGGGCAAGCAGAGGAGGAGCTGCTGCTGTGCGCCTTTCGAAGCGATGCGCCCGGCTGTGGCGCCGTGGATTCGCCGAACGCGTTTCACACCCCATCCATGCCATCCACTCCGACGGGTGCAGCGTCAACCGGGTCTTGTGTGCCCTGCTCGGCAATTCATCTGCAGGGGGCTCTGGCAAGCAGTCGTTTCCAAGAATTGGGGGTGAACCAAGCTGCTTCCAGTGCGCAGAGCGGCTTGCTCCGGACATCCGCATCGCATGGAAGACTTCCCACGCCGGTTCGATCAGAGAGTGTGCCTGCAGATGAGCTGGAGATTACAGAGAGCGCAAGCTCGCGAAAGCCAGTCCCAGAGCTTCCGCAGAGCAAGCTGCAGCCGCCAAGCTCCTGGCAAAGCATCTTATGCGGAAGGGCATCGAGGTGGTCAAACGGAGCAAGCAGCTGCAGCACAAGTCCAGGCAGCCTTGCAAGCTTGAGACGTCGAGGCAGTGAGCCGCCGGGGCGGAAGTCGGAGGGTTTCCTGGCAACCCCAAGAAACTCGACGGGTGCTGGTGCTGCGCAGGCTGTGCAGGCTGTGCGCAGAGGCTCGGGCCCGGGCTCCTACTTTGACCGGATGCGGGCACGGGCCTTGGCTCGCGTGGCCTCGAAATCGCCCGGGCGTGATCCCAGCATCGCGGAGGCGGTCAGACGAGCCCAGAGCCGAGCCAAGAGGGCCCAGCAGCAGCAGGCACAAAAAGATGCCGCGGATGCCAAGGCCCGCACAGGTCCGACGGGCGAGCTGCTTGCGCCTGCCACGGCCAGCTTGTTCAAGCGCAGAGATGAGCGACTTCAGCGCTTCGCTCAGAGACAGGAGAATGTGACTGCAAGCGAGATGAGCGAGCTTGCGACAATCGAGTCTCCTCAGCCACTGCCGTCTCCTGAACCGTGTCCTTAATTCGGGACGAGATCCAGATACTGCAACAGTTTCACTAATTAGCCGGCTCGGCCTTGTTTATGTTTCACTCGGTAAGAGTGCACGTGCCATATACATTCGGCCAGCCTCGGGGAAACAGGTCCAATCTGGAACTTCTGTGCAAAGGGCATGGGGCGCATTTCTGAGCTGGAAGCATCGCAGGACGGCTTGCCCGATAGCCGCTTGTTTGCACTACGGAGGACACTGGAAAATCTGGAAATGTGGAGGGAGCGACAGACTATCTTGTTGGCGCTATCGCCGTACCCGTAACACAAGTTCGCACATCGCTGTGGGGCGCATACAAATCCACGGCATTGCTGCCAGGTATGCAGAGTTATCCACAAATGACTCGCCAGTTCCTGCTGAGAGCGCTGCCAAAGGAGCGGTCTTGTCTGACCGACCAGCCATGGTTGACTGCTTGCACGCCTCCTTGATATCTCCTTCGGTTGAACGTGTTGTCGGAAGGCATGGTGGAAGCTCTGGCCACTTTTGTTTGCCGCATTTTGGCTTCGTGCCTTCGGTGTCAAGACGGTGCTGGATGCCCGGCTGCATTTGTCAGTTCGGTATGTCAATTCAGGGGCGACACCGGGCCTGTCCCTGATCCGTTGATACACCCACCATCACGAAAAACACCACTGCACCATTCTTCGTTGCAGATTGTGGCTCAGCCCTGCCTTGTCATGTACATAGCTTGATTTCGATGCGCCGACTTCTCAGACATGTTCGTGCCACCTCCGCCGAAAGTGGTGCCTCCCATGCCCGTGGTGGCCCCGTACGTCTCAGACGCAGACCAGCGAAAAAAACTGTGGAAACTGGGTATGCAACACCACTTGAGGGCGTTGGAAGGCCTGGTTCGCGAAAGCTAATTAGTTTGTTTTTGTATGGCGCCACACACTCTGCTTCTCTGCTATCGCAGGCGTCACGAAGGTGACCGACCAGTCCGATCCGGGTGCCGCAGACTCGGGCGTGCGAAAGGCTCGAGAGAAAGCCCGAGACTTCCAAAAGCACGAGACGAGGAGCGCTCGGACTGCGCAGGAGAAGCCTCGGTCTGCCGACAGTTAGCGGTCTTTGTGCACCTGCGCAGGCGAGACATTGATGCCGGAAACCGCCATTTGGTGCATCGCTTGAAGGACCCCGGCCTCCGTGATCTTCGTGCAATCATGACTTGCCTCCTGTGCTGGCAGGAGATCGTGCAGAAGCCCAGCGTGATCGCAAAGGTGTCAGACGGTGCGACCCGCCATGCCGGAACTCGCCGCGAGATGCTGCAGCGTGATAGGCAAATACGCCAGAAAAATATCGAAGCCGAGAATCACTCTTTGGTGCGACGGCTTCTCGCTGTTAAAAGCAGCCTGGATTCGCAGAGCTTCGAGAAAGACTACCGCAGGCTCCAGCTTTGTTTTGGGTTTGAGCCTGGACCTGGTTTGGGCCTATATAGTTTTACAGACTCGGACTGAACTCTGACCACCGGAGCGAAGCTCTGACTAAACTTGGCTCAGCACTGGGAAGACGGCTGAAGACCCCAAGCGGTAGGCATGTCCTTGTGCTTTCTTGAGTTCGCAAGTTCATAGATCATACGCCCGGACTCTTTAATTTGGTTTACAAGGGCCGCGTGAACTGGTCTGCACCGCATGTCCAGGCACCGGCAGGATGTCGGCCGGCTCCAGCAGCTCCCGGAGAAGAATGCCAAGCCGAGGAAATTGCCAAAGCTGCCGGACAAGGCGCCTCGGAGCAGTGCCCGAACGAACTCGAATGTGGTCAGCCGATGGGTGGGCTATTGAACCCCGCATCTCGAAGGGCTAGAGCCTGCGAGAGCCTAGTTTCAGTTGAAGCTTCGACTTACCAGGGACTGAATCGCGGCAAGCGCTGTGTTCGCTTCCGTGGTTCAGGTTCTTCCGGAGCTGCCCAAGGAAGAGTACTCGCCGAAGAGTTCTTGCACTGGATACAGGCCAGCGACGCTGATTGAACGCTTACTTAAAGAACTGGTAGGGGCAGGTTGTGAGTACTAACTGAGCTAAAAGATGCGCATCAGCAACGCCACATGCAGTCAGAATGCCGGAAGGCTTGGCCCTCAAAACTTTGCCACGTATTCTCAAAATCCAACTTCGGTCGCGTGTTCGAAGGCTTGATATGACCTTCTTACCTCAGCGTCCCTGAGCCTTCGGCTTTGCTGCTGGGTTCAATTTGGCAGGCCCGCACGCCAAGCGCTGCCGCTGCCTCCGCGACTTGTCCGAGACTCTAAAGTCTGGAACATGGCTGCTTAGCGGAAAAGGCTGCTTCGGTTCACGGCTTGAGCATCTCTATTCTCCAGTTATGCGTGCTGCTGCGAAACCGACGACACGGTGGATAGCGCCGAAACTCAGGGTGTCATGGGTCCGGCTCAGGGCTCGGAGGCTTGATATCATTTCAGTGAGTCCTGTAAAGTCACTAAGTCTTACAGTACGTAAGCCGATACGGCTTGAAGTAGCACAACGTTACAAAATATTTATCGAACATAGTCACTTAAGCACAGCCGAGTGCAGTACACTGCAAAGCTACTGCCGCTGGCGGTCTGGGCGAGCGATGCAAGCGAGGGGGCGGCGCAGTCGTGGTTTATACTTGCTTCGCATCAGAGTCCCACATACGACAAGTCCATTCTGCGGTGCTGAAGGTACGGTTACAAGTGGGGAAGACCAATTGCTTTGCATTCACATGCTAGGCAATGAATGTGGTGATCTAGCCCAAACACTGACAGCTCAATTTCTCATGCGACTACATGTTCGCTCACCTGTGCGAAAGCAGGGTGCATGTTTCAGGCAGGAGGCATTGGGCACACGCTCTTAGCAGAGGGAGCCCCGGGCGACGAAGCAAGCCCGCTGCAAAAGGCAGTCAGACCGTGACTCAAAAACAGTTTGTTCCCATCGTCCATACATCCATACATCCATCTCATGAGGATGATGCTGTGGATCCAAGCTCTCGAAGCCTTCGTGTCCGAGTGTTAAGGCGCATGTCCGAAAGCAGATCTGTGCCGAACCTCCCCAGCGAGGTGCTATGGTCTCGAGTTTAGCGGGATGAGACATGGAGCACGAAAGCGCGAAATTGAGGAACGACCTTTTTGCTTTGGCGAGGCCCCTCCAGCAGAAGTTGCGCGCAGAAGAGCCAAGCCTGAAAAGCCTCAGGCCGGGCACAGATTGCCAAGCGTTCCTAAAGCATATCACGACGACATCAACAGCAGCTGTGAGAAGGAGTCAGAGCCCCAGCGGCTTGCAGAGAGCAAGAGACCGCGGGCCAAAATGGAGGCAGGTGGGATGACAACTAACTGCTGACAAATGTGCATAAGCATGGCCATCATCACCGAACCACCAGCAAGATTCGGACATCGGGAGTAGACCTCATTTGGACTTCACAATAGCGGCTGGTACGAAAAATAATGCAGACTTACCAGATCCTGACATTCAGTCGGCTACAACTATCTCGATCTCAGAGAGCTGATGGCAAGGGAGTTCGAACAAAGTGCTGAGAATCTATCTAGAACTCGGAGTCTGTTGCTGAGCTGTTGAGCTGAGCTCCGAAACAAAACCATGCTCGGACCTTTGAAATCAGGTCCACAGTAGCCGATAATGCAGAGACTTCATGGCAGGCAGGTAGGCGGAAGTCATGGATTGAAGACTTTGAACTTATGGTGCCTGTCAGCGAAACTGCTGCAGCCCGGAACCGCCAATTTGTTGGCTTTTGCATGATGTCAAAGGTAGGAATGCCCTGATCAGCAACTACACCAGCAGTAGCTTAGCGTTGACTGTTGAAGAAACCGCAGCGAGTAAAGGGAGAAACCGTCGCGCTGAGATCGACCCTACGAGCTACTGATACGGGCAATGACGATGACACCTTGGAGTTGTCGGTCCTAACCCCTAGGGCCAGATAGCCATTTGGGGGTTGATCAAAGAATGGGACACTACAAGGAATATATCGTAATAATACAGATTCCAAAAGGGCCCATAGCTATAGTTTTGATCAACCCCCATGTAAGCCATAAGCTCCAGACCTTCACCAAACCATGCGAGAGTCGAAGCTCGAGAAGGAGACGGCACCTGTCGCGGCAGCTGAGCCGCCGAGGGAGGCAAGGCCAAATCTGCCTGTAGCAATGCTATAATGGGCTGTATAATGGGTTTTTCTGGGTATATGGGTGTATATGGGTATATAATAGCTATATTAAGGGTATATTGTATATACCTCGGGGTCCTTATTAAGGCGTCGCTCCGCAAGGCTACTGTAGGATTATAATCGGGATGGTATGCCGCTCTTGTGGACCCTCGAGAAGAGTGGGTGTGTCTGTGTGCATGAGCCGATCGACCAACTCGGGATCATACAGTAAAGGCTTGACATGACACCTACTTGAGACAGCCCCAAGAAACAACTGAGAAGGGCGGATAGAACCTCGTTACTGCCTTTGGCTCGGCTGGGTCTGTTGGCCGGGCTTGGAAACGTGTGTCTTATATTTCGAAAATTTGGCCGGGAATTTAAATCCATCTCGGCTGGGGGAAGTGGAACAACGTTGCAAGCACGGACTCTCTACATTGTACATCCCTCGGCCCCAAACCCCCGTCACTGGTATTGTTTAAAAGACCCTCTTAGTGCTTTGCTCAGCAATGCAGGAGACAAAAACAGCACCGCCTTTCAAAGTGACAGTTCGCTTGTGGGAGCCACAGCCTCAATCCACATCCAAATACATTGTGCCCGCAAGCCCATGTCATCCCAAACCCAGAACCGCAGGTTTGCGCTCTGACCCGTTAACCTTCAACATCTCTCTTGCGAACCATAGTGAAAGCATGTGAAAACCCTACATGCATCTTGAGATGAACCAGTCTCCGGATGCCTCTGTCAAAATCGCTCTGTAACCCCCCGACGCATTCTGGTCTTGAGGCAGAGGTGAAAGGAGAGTCGAGGGCTGTGGGATTTCCGCGCACTGTAATGTGTTGCAGAATGTTGGTTGAAAACGGGTTAGTGTCTGCATGGAGAAATGGGGGCTTGTGGTTGTGCGATCTGTTGATCGAGGACGCTGCAGCTGCAGACACTGTCCGGGAGGAACATGCTGCAGAGTCGCAACCTCGCGCGGCGCCTGGGGAGGTTGGAATGCTTAAACTCTAACTGTGATGTGTTGCTGGGCAGAGCAGGAGCCACATTTCGAAGTGACAGTATCGCAAGATATGTGCTGCTATGTGACATGATGTGAAGCAAGAAACATGGAATGACAGAGCCGAACATGTCAGGCTTTCGACTGGAATTGTAGGGTTGCTTGCAGGGCGATGCAGTGCTTGGCGCTGGAGAGAATCTGCCTGAGCTCGCCAAAGCCGCGGATGATCTGGTAAGCCAATTAACTGCGGACGCCCTGGCCTCGCTGGAGTTCAGTGACGCCAAATCATTTCTGTCCGACACCATGCGCAGCTGGAGCACCATGCATATCTCAAGTGATATCGAGACATTTTGCGACTGACGGCGATGTCTGTCGCAGCTCGCAGCAGAAGACTGACAGCTGGCAGCCAACTGTGAAAGAGCCGACGCCTTGAAAAAAAGGCCCTGAAAACTTTTTGAAGTGGTCATCTGACCGTGCATTGTGCCGATGGGTATAGCACCGGAGCCCTGAAATGTCTCCGGTGCTATACTTTCAGTACATCTCCGCCAGAGCACAGGGAGTAGAAGACCAGTACAGGCCCGCAAGTTCTCGTCCTCTCTCGGTAGATTCCGGTAGATGTCATTGGTTCACAGTTGCTACATGCTTGTGCACGGCTAGACGAGAACTTGGCGCGGCACGGCGAGCCAACGCCATTTTAGCATCCCGACTGTGTCGTGGCAGTGTCCTAGACATGTCAGACCAGCTGTAGCAGTTTCACACAAGAATTCGCGGTGTTTGCTGTGTGTGCATGACAATGGTAAATATCGCAAACCAGCTGATGCTGACACTTCATCGGTGAACATTTGTGCACCACATTGACTTCAACACAGGATTCGTACTTCACAAGTTCTCAAAGCTGATCGCCGCTTCACGGCTACCGTAGCTGCTGCAGATCGTGAGAACAAGTAAGTAGTAACCAATTAGTACGCATGCTAAAGGGCAACGGGTTGTTAGTGCTGCTCCTAAATCTTAGAAAGGAGGAGGCATGTAGGCTGCCCCATCGTTGGTGATGGCTCGACAAAACCCAGCAATCTAACAACTGCCGAGAAAAGCCGACATAAGAGCTGTCGCCATGCCGGGGCAGCCGGGGACCGTGCCGGGTGTTCCGGTGCCCCAAACCGCTGTTCCACCTGTCCGGCCGCTGCCTTCACCGCCCGCGAAGGAAGAGCAGCCGCAAAGCATCTTCGATGATTTGAAAGTCGCCTTTCTCTGTGCGTAGGTTCAAAACGTCGCGCTTGGGTGAAATCAACCGAAGATACCGCATCCAAGGTGAGCTCGTGTCAAGCACGTCCTACCCAAACGAGGCTGCGGACTATTTTGGTGAGCTCTTCGCACATCGCCTTCGATGGGCACATGCTGTCAACAGCCAGCGCATGCTCAGCACGGCCTTAGTTTCCAATTCCCACTTCCTGGAGGCTGACGTTTCTGCAGGACCTCTCGTAGAACAGAAGCCGGACTCTTTTGCTAAAGGTGCATCTGGTGGTTCGCGGGTCGCTGTCACGGAGACGTCCGTGATGACTTCTGCAGGTTTGCCGGTCATCATGGCCCACTATCCAACGCAGCGCTCGAGTGACCTCTGTTTTGAGCTCTTTATCGGGGCGGTGTTGAAGCACAATGCCCAGATAGATGGGGAGGAGGACGAACCGGCAGAGGCCAGCAGCGAAATCCCAGAAGACCCCTCGCAAGATGCCAAGGAGCAGGGCCCAGTGCAACGACCGCAGCGGTCGCCCTTTTCGGCACCTGTCCTGCACGATCATTTGCTCGAGGATGCCCCCGAAAGGAGCTCGAGCACCACGGCCCTGGAGGCTTCCGGCTTAGTGCGACACGGCACGTCTGCAGGGCAGGAGGCCGCAGCTTTTGCCGTCGACTTACATCGGGAGCTTGAAACTCTGGACCACAACCAGATGATGATGGCATGTATCGGGGCCCGAAGAGGTGGGAGTCGCCTGGTGCGGCACACCTCCAAGAAAGGGGTGAAGCTGGACTTCAAAGTCTTTGAGGCTGTGGAGCCGGCACTTAGACATCTGCAGAGCATTGATGCCGCCAGAAGGCTGGGCGGCCACTTGTGGCTGAATGCTGACGTCTTTGCGGGGCCCGGGTATCCGGAGCGATTTCTCTCGCCAATCGATGCCAGGACGGCATCTCTGACTGTCTACTCGTCGCATGTGCTGAATTCTACAAGTAGATTCGAGATGTGTCTTAGTGCTTGAGTCTTTGTTCCGGCAGAGCAGACGCCCTGCAGGAGATTTGTGCAACTTTGCGCAGAACTTGTCCCCGATGCTGTCCTCTCACTGATGCTTGTCGTAATCCGTGGCATTGGCACGTATGGGTGTGTGCGGGTGTGTGGGTGCATGGATGTGGGAGTGAGTGTGTGTGTGTGTGCGCGCGGAACTCTGTTACTAAGAGTCAGCAGTGATTTCGCATGTTGTGTGTCGAAACAGCACGGGGCTGGCTGAGGGCCCGTCACTGGTACCCCAGCCAACGAAAACTACCAGTGACAGGGCGTGGAAACGTACCTGCGAATAAAAAAGGGGGAGGGTGCACCTGGGTCTTCGTGACAGCTGGTGTCCAGATTAGACTGATGAGCCTTGAGTGATTGGTTCCGGAACCCCGAAAGCTTCATTTCACGGTGCTTTCACGATTACATCAAGCATGGCTTGATAACAGATGAATGGCTGTGCGATGGATGCCCAAGTTGCTTCTGATACCTCATTCCGCTCTGCAGCTGGGCTGGGATGGCGTTCCGAGAGGAATCGGCACCAGCAAAAGCTTTCAGCCGAGGAGCTGGGGGAGCTCCATTTTGTCGGCGAGCAGGCCGGCTTTCTGGACGTGGTAATTCAGAGTTCGGTGCCCTTGAATTGGTCAGCCGTAAATGACAGATTCAGATGCTGCAGCGAGCGGGTTTGACCAAAGAACCAAAGACAAGATTACTATGCTGACATCCCGTATGCTAGCTAGGCATTACACGATGGACATGGTCAACAGATGCTCGGCTTCATCATTGTACTAAAGATGCAGTCGGGCAGATGGGGGAGACTGTGCCAAAGTTTTCTATGGTCATATCTTTCGTCGCTCCGGTGTTTCGGTTGGTCTAAGGGCTGTCCCACCAAACTCGTACTTAGAGCGCGCCCAGGGATGATCGAGCTCTGCATGTCGCCCATCGTGCCGCGCTCTATGCTCTCTCCAACTTCCCGAGCCGAGGAGAGTGGCCGAAAGTAGTGTGTATCTTCCAAATTCGTGGGCTTCCACGAAATGGGACCCTACAAGGGTTCGATAAGGGTTTGGCATACTGACTGAAGTTTCTCTCCCATGCTGCTCGGTATCCAGAACGGAGATGCGTGCAACGCAGGACTTGGTTGCGGAGCAGGAGACCGCGGCCGAGTCCATCAAGCAGGAGCCTGCAAAAAAACAAGAATACCCAGGGCAGCAATGCTTAATATTAATACTGACTGAAGGTCATACTGGTAGCATGACATGACATAGAAGTAATCGGGGCGGCGCTGCGTTGCAATGAGAAGAATAATAGTAGCGGCAGGAGTTTGGCATAAATCAAGGAACGGAAAAGTGTTTTAGTCTTAGTCTTAGCGTTAAGGCAGGTTAGAGTCACTGGGTAGTGGTGGTGGGAGTGGTGCTAGCAGACGTCGACGTTGTCGTCGTCGTAGAAGTCAGTCGCAGTGGTCGTCGTAATAGTAGCCGTGGTGGTGGTGGTGGTGGTGGTGGTGGTGGTGGTGGTAGTAGTAGTAGTGGTCGTGGCAGTGGTCGTGGTCGTGATCGTGGTCGTGGTGGTAGTGGTAGTGGTGGTGGTAGGCCGGAGTAGGAGTAGGAAGAGCAGGAGGAGGAGGAGGAGGAGGAGGAGGAGGAGGAGGAGGAGGAGGAGTAGCAGCAGTGCTGAAAGTTCGAGGGTCCGGGTTTCAGGGGTGGGGAGGTTCGTGCTTTGGAGGTTTCAGGGCTTAAGGGTCTGAAGTTCTAGCTTCGGGTTCATTCTTTACGCGCGAGGCCTCCTGTTTTAAGGGTTCAGTTTTTAGGAATCTACCAGGCGTCCTTGCAAGCAAGCCTGCAGCAAAAGGAATAGGAGGGGGAGGAGGAGGCAGAGCACAGCAACAGTAGCAGCAGCAGTCGCAATAGTCGTAGCCTCGGCACACAGCCTCTGGCAGGACGCGGATGGGCCAAGCCTGGCACCGAACAAGGAGGGCAAAGGCCACATGATTTGGGACGAGTCCGCCTCAAAAAGAATTCGCGGAGTGCTTAAGTCCAAATTAGCCCATAGCAGAGATTTCTGTTGGGGACTTTGTTTCCAACATGTTGAAACCGCACGGATGGCCGAAGCACGCGCGCTCTGGAGCCGAGCTTGTCAAACGCCAAAAGCCGACGAAATGGAGAGAACCTGCAAGACAAGCATGCAAATACCTCTTTCCTATGTCAGCTGAGTATGCGGGAGCCAGCCGGCATCTACCCAAGCCCTGCCGGCAAGAGCATCCTTAGCCTTAGAGCCCAAATAAAAGACCTGACTGTTTCCGCAGCCATGAAGCACATTCAGCTGCAGTTGGTCTTTTCGACGGCCTTGGGTCCCGACTCGGATCAGAGCTGTCGGCCGAATTCTCCTAAGAAGAGGTTCACGAAGGAATGAACTCCGCAGTTGTCTTTAGCTGAGGAAAACAAATCTTAGGTCTTCTTAGGTGGACTCTTTCTGGTTCGCATCCTAGGCTTTCTGGCACACATGGAGTGGAATAGTTGATTCGTGCGAAGGTCAGCTTGAACCGTACCGTCTATACATGTGTAGAGTTTGGCAGGCTTGGGTGCACATGCATCATTCTAGTCTTGTTGCTGCTGTCCGCCACTTTGGCTCAAGTCTGATCCAAAACGGCGGGCAGCTGATTTTGGAGGGGAGTTGACCCCATTTTCTTTTGTGTGCTGAGGGAGTGACCCTCTTTGGCTTTCTGAGGGAGTGACCCTCTTCCATGCTATGCAGGAGGATCCTGCAGCATTGTATGCCTTCGCCCGCCTGGCTGTGCACACAGGTACGCAGCTACTCCATCCGGCGGCCATGTTGGAGTTCCGGGCCAGGCTTCGCGAGCTGGTCGAGGCAGGTCAGAGTTATGAGGCCGCCTTGTTGTGGGGCTCAGTTTTGGAAGTGCAGCATTACCCGCCGCCTCCTCGGGGCCTGCTGGAGGGGCTACCGCCTGGCGTGCCTCCCATCCGAACCGTGCCTTGCATCGAGGTCGACTGTGTTCGATGCCGGGAAGGCCGAGGCGGGTTCCGCTTCCCTTTCGTGGGCACATATGCACGTCGCTCCATTGTGGTTTCGGGAGCGGTGGCTCCGGCTCAAGCGTGGGCTGAGTATAACAGAAGCGGGCCCGAGCGCCTCAGTTTTGATGATGTTTTCAGGATGGGCTCGGGCCTCTGGCCAACAGATATTTTGCCAGATCACGCGAACAGGCTGGTGCAGCGGATTGGCGAGGAGGCTCATCCGCGGGGAGCGACCCCAGGACAGCTTTGGCTCCTGGCGGGAGAGACTCGCCCGGGACCGTCTGAGCCAGGCATGCCACCGCTGGTGAATGGTCGCGTCTGCTCGGCCTTCCTTCGCAACGGGATGCGGCTTTGCCCTGCCTTTCAGTCGGGTGCATGCAGAGCGGAGAACTGTGCGCTTTCACACCTCTGCGCTACGGTCCTGCGATCGGGGCGTGTGTGCGGCGGAAGGCATCCAGCCCGAGATTGTCATGACCGTCGCCGGCTTCACCCTGACAATGTCCCACCGGCAATCTCTGCACCTCAAGAGGCTTCCGACTTGGTGGAGGTCGAGGTGGAGCGCGATGTGGAGCCACCTCGTCCCAAGGCTAAGCCACGGCCGAAGAAGATGCCCAAGGCGATGGCAGTGCGACTGGTACCTCGGGGTGGGGCTGAGGAGCGACCTCAAGCATCGCCCAGGCCGGCAGCTTCATGGTCCGATCGCCGCTCTTCCCGTGCAGCTCCGGCGGAAAGGGCCTCGAGTTCTCGCGATGTTCCCCAGCAGCCACGTACCCCGCGGAGCCGCATGGTCGGAAGCGCCAGCGTGAGGGCGCGGAGGCTCACTACGACCGGCTGGCCCGTGAGCCAGGTCGCCCGGTGAACCGGGACGCGCTTGAGGTCCCGACATGCAGAGATCTGGGAGAGCCAGGGCGGAGGGCGCCTCTTCTTGAGTGTGTTGCCAACCACGGCCAACAAGCACAGGTTCCCACCAACGGCTCTCCAGACTACAGCTATGGCCAAGTCCCCGGCAGACCGCGGTGGCATCGTCCTGCCTGGGGCCTTGCATCAGCAGTGGCCTGACTTCCAGTCCTTGCTCCCGTTGGTGCGCGCTACCTTGCTTGAGGGCCAGAATGTGGTGACGCATTGCATGGCAGGCAGGCATCGAGGCGCTGCTGCAGGGACGGTGCTGCGGGCGGTGCTGAGTGGCGACAGCCTGGATGAATGTGAGGCTTTTATTCTCAGGCGCGGCACGACATCGAGCTCAACCGTATCCGCCGCGAGAACCGCGACTTGGCCGAATGGATGCTACGAACAGCAAGGACTACCCGCCTTGGTCCCCCTCCGCCGCTGCCGGTGGCCTTTGTGGCCACGAACACTTCCTTGATGCACCTTGAGAGCGCGGCCGGCATCACCTTGTGTCAGCATAGACAGAGTAAGGGGGCTCGGAAGTTGGTCAGGCCGATGCGTACCACTGACCGATTTGAAGCCTATGCGTGGGCCAAAGCGTGCTGCACGCAGTGCTTCGGTATGGCGGGCGCCAAGTGGCAATCCCCGTGAGCCCATCAACCGCCGCTGCGGCCGGGGGGGCCCCGCCTGGCGCCCCCCCTTGCGTCGCTTTTTGCGGTTCGTGTGCACCTAGCGCGCGAGGGCACAGTGAGAAAAGGTTGCGAGCGTTTGCCCCCACATGTTGTCATGCAGCAGTCGTAGGGTCGCAGAGTTTGCTGTGCATTTGGGGCAGGTGTCGCCTGTTTTGCATGCCCCCCCCGCGTGACTGCTGTCTCATGCTGGGCAGGTGCTCGCGCATTTTTCGGCTTGAGTGAGGTACATTCGAGCTTGTCTGGGAGCGACCCAGTCGGCAGGGAGCCGAGGCCTGAGTGACAGGCGGGTGGGCAGCATGTCGCAAGCCCTTGTCCTGAGAGACGGGAATGATTTCAAAGCTGCCTTGGACACCCTGTCCTTGAACTTTTCTCTGGCGCCGGAGATTCAAGCTCGGTTGTTGAGTGACGGGTTGTCCCACTTGGAGGAGCTTCGCTTCTTCTTCGACAACGAGGAGCATGTGGGCCGGTGGGTCGCCAAGCTTAGCCTGGGTGATAAGAGGGTGATAGCCGTCAGGCTCTACTTCTCTACGTCAGAGCAAGATCGCTCTAAGGTGGCTCTTACGGACCTCGATACCCTCCTCGAGGACTCCGAACTTCGTGATGTGAAGCTCGCGTTTTGGAAGCGCTATCGTATGCGTTTCCCCGCCGAGGTCCATCCGGCGGACTCTCTCCTCTCTCGGTTGTCCCGGGAGATCAACAAACGCATGCTTTGCGTGTACGCTATCTGGAAGGTGCGTTCGCTCTACTTCCAGCTTACAACGGTGCAGCGTAAGCGGAAGTTGGGCGATAACCTGTATACTGAGGAGCCCGACACTGAGGAGGCAGTCACCAAAGATGCAGACACTTACCTTGATAAGCTGTACACGCTGCTTTTGGCCTACTCGATGGCAGGTGTGTTCCCACTGCCGGGTGTCGATATGAGCAAGGAGGCGGCCTTGAGTGCTTCTTCGGCCGATTTCGTCGGTGTCCCTCTGGATGTGGCGATGGCTTACTTCTTTCGGGCAAAGAGATGTGTATCCCAGCTGCCTCCAGCACGCCGGTTGCAGTGGCTGCTGACTAAGGACGTGGAGGAGCGCAGCGAGTGGGTCACGAGGTTCCGAGAGGGCAACTCTTCCCTTGGGCTTATCATTAAGCAGGTCATGGAAGCTCGTGACGCGCACTGGGTGGTTACAAGTGCTGCCCTGTCAGTCGGCCCGGGAGAGACCCAGGCCACGGCAGGCACAGCCATCCCGCCTCCGCCGGTGCCACAAATTTCCCACTTTCGGGAGGGACCCAAAGTGGGTGGTAAGCGAGTGGCGGCGGTGCTCAAAGATGGAACCAAGCTTTGCCCTGATTTTCAGTCAGGCAAGTGCAAAGGCCCTAAGTGCGCCAAGGGCGCCCATCGCTGCGGGGTGATCGTGCGCGCCCAGCGGGCTTGCGGCTCCTCTTCGCATGGGGCCGCCCAGTGCACTGAGAAGATCAAGTGAGGGTGTTCCGAGGAGGGGGAGGGGGACCTCCCCTCGGGGACAGCCGTGGATCCTCCAGTCACCTCCGGCGACCGCCCGCCCCTGATGATGGATCTTATGTGCGGGCCTAATGCGCCACTGACTCGTGCCTTCCTGTTTTGTGGCTGGCGTGCAGGCCCGGTCGATCTCTTGCTGAATCCAGCGCAGGATCTTTCTCGGTCGGAGTTCCAGGCGGAGCTGAGACCGAGCCTCGATCAGGCATGCTTGCTCTTTGCAGCTTTGGATTGCAGCACCAAGTCGGCGATTCGTGAAATACCATTGCGGCTACCTAGTGGTCGCTCGGGCCCACCCCCGCTTCGCAGCCACGAACATCCGATGGGATTGCCAGGTCTCAAGATCGACGACCAGAGAAGGGTTTCCAAGGATAACTGCGCTTGCCAGTTCGTGTTGGAGGAACAGCAGCACATCCTAGAGCGCGGTGGCGGCGCCATTCGGGAGAATCCCAACAACAGCTTACATTGGTGCATCCCCCAGGAGGCAGAGATGTGGGCATCTGACCAATGGTGGGACACTCGGTACGATGCTTGCTGTTTTATGGGAGCACGGCGGAAGCGGCAGCGCCTCCGGCACAACATCTGGGAGTTGACCCAGGGCCCTTCCTTGCTGTGCCACCATACGCACCACCCACAGGAGTGGCAGCCTTAAGTGGGAGGCGCATGGAAGCGTAGTCTATCCTTCCAAGGAGGAGGCGGAGTACACCGCCCCGCTCGCATTTCACATTGCCGTGGCCTGCAGTTGGTGGGCTGGTCGCTTGGGACTAGCTAAATTGCGAGTGCCACGGGGACCCCCGATTCAGTGTGTCGGCCGGCGTGAGCACTGGCTGGAGATTGACTCCCGGGCCTTGCGGGAATGGGCTATGTCGCCCCTAGCTATTTCCCTCGGTCTTCGTCCTATCGACCCGGGTGAGGCGGCCCGCGTTCCCGTGCGAGTGGAAGTAGCCTCGGTGCTTCGGGAGGACAAGTCTTTACCCCCCGACGTGATCTACGTGGGGCGAGGCCATCATTCCCACAGACTGCCGGTGACACATCCCGGGCCACAACTGCGGCGCCGATGAGTGGCTGGCCCTGTATGTCGAGCATGTTCTGTCCAATTTGCAGACGGATCTGGTGCAGCTCGAAGGGCGTACCCTAGCCTGCGATTGTGCGCTCAATCAGGTTTGTGAGGGCGATCTCCTGGCAGGCCTCGTGTTTGATGCCGGGCGCCCTCAGGGCATACCCCATCAGGGTGCAGCAGGCCGGCCGCGCCGAGCCGCACAGAAGCGAAGTCGCCGCGTCTTGCTGGCGGCGGCTGCCTCAGCCCTTCCTACCCCAGTGGGAGCGATGATTCCATATCTGCATCAAGATTCAGTGGTGGCCACTTTTCAATCATTCTTTCCTGGTGTGGAGTGGGGCGACTTCCGCTTCCCTATGGTCGAGGATCTGGTCAATGCACCCCCGTTCACTGACTACGTGCAGTGGTGCCGCGATCGGCATGAGGAGTGGGATGGACCACTCTTGCCGCAGCTGGTGAGTGCTCAGCAGCGCCAGTGGCAGCGCACTGCCGAGGGCCAGCAGGTCGGTGCCATGGCCCACCGTGCCGCATTGCCTCCCACCCGATGTGCACTTCGATCTCGCCCTTGAGCTGGCCAGGTACCCCACCCCGTTCGAGCAGCCTCCTGCCCTCGATCTGGATCTTTGCTATGCGGCCGAGGTGACGGCCAGCAAGCGAGGGGGTCTTCGCGAGTGGCGCAAGGCTTCTCTCGAGGCTATCCGAGAGCTCAAGAGGCGCTGGGCTGGCGTGGATTCCCGACTCCGGGCAAGCCAGCAGGCCCCTCTCCGACCCGACACTTCCGCATGATTTCCTTTTCGGGATGGCGGCAGTCGGCACAGCCCCGGTCCCGGTCTATGGAGTGTTCCCCCTTCAGTCAGCGCGTGACATCTCTCACGCGGAGGTGCTGGCGGATGCCTCGGCGTCGAACGCTCGGGTGCGAGCGAGTTTACGTCCGGGGCGGGACGATGCGTTCCTGTTGGAGCAGAGCCTTCGTGATGGAGAGCGGGTTTTGCTCCGAGCCACTCCGTTACCCACAGCTCCTTCGAGCAGTGGGTGGTCTTCCTTTTCGCCTGATCCCACGCTGCGTCATCACCCAAAGCAGCGGCAAACAGCGTATAATCGACAATGCCGACACAGGCGGCCAATCGGAGCTGAGCTCGGATCCAAACAAGCTCGTCTTGTGTTCCCCGTTGCGGCCGGCGCAGCATGCGGCGGCTTTGCTCGCTTGCCTTGATGAGCCGTCTCGCCAGCGGGCCGCTGCCGAAGATGCTCTTGAAGGTGGGGGCGAGGACTGGCCCGAGGCCTACCGCCACTGCCCCATGGATGGCGCCTCATCCAGGTGCTGTGTTGTGGTGTGGTGGCACCAGGACTGGGGTGAGCCAGCCTATCAGCTCTACACTGGCTTGCTGTTTGGCCTCCCTTTGGCGGTTACGAGCTTCAACCGATACAGTCGGGCGGCCGAGGCCTTGGGCCGGCGCCTTCTTGCCATTCTTGTTTCCATGTATTTTGATGACGCTCACCTTACAGACTGGGCTTCATCCAAGGGCTCCGCGCAGTCTAGCTTTAAGCTGGATTGAACACCTGTCTGGGATCCCCCTTTGCACCCGCCAAGCGTCAACCGATGGCCTTGACAGGCACGTTCCTGGGCCTCAACTTTGATTTTGAGGGCTGTCTCCATTCTGGTATCGTGCGCTTCTTCGTTCGCGATCGGCTGGTCTCAAAGGTGCATGACATGTTGGATCAGGCTATCTCTTCAAGCTCCCTTTCCCCAGGCCTCGCGGCTAAGCTCTATGGGACCTGCAACTTCCTTGAGCAAGGGATGTATGGGCGAGTGGGCGCCGGTGGGCTTCGCGCGATTCGCGAACGCTCGGATGAAGGTGGCCGGGAGCTGACCCCGCCAATCCTTGCTTGTTTCTCTCTCATACGAGCGGTTCTGGCGGTGCGGCCAGAGCGGGAGTTCGAGGTATTGCCTCGACCCGTCGCCCGTTTCTGTGCTGCGAGTGACGCAGCGGAGGACATTCCCGGGGCGGGATCCGGTGGTTTCCACCTAGTGTGGCTTGATTCCGCGGAAATCCGAGAGAGCTTCATAGCCCACATCGGTCCCGAGGTCTATGCTCAGTTCACTCCGGGAGAGCATAAAATTGCCCAACTCGAGTTGGCGATGGTGTTGTATGCCCTTGCCGTTCGGGCCCCCTCTTTTCGTGGGCGGCGTGGCTACTGGTATATTGACAATGTAGCCGCCCTGATGTCCCTCATCAGAGGCCGGTCGAGTTCTCCTGACCTCGAATGCCTGGCGCAGCTGATTCACATTGCAATGTTTGCACTGCGCACTTCTTTCTTCTTTGAGTACATTCCGTCGAAGACGAACTGGGCTGACGCAGTCAGCCGTGTCGGCTTTGCCGACCCATGGCTCCACCAGCGTGGCTTTTCCTGCCACGTTGCCTCTTTTCCCTTTCAGCTCGTGGGTCTCCCTTTCCTCGCCGTGCTGCGGGTGTTCGAGTTTCTGTGAAGGAGTGCTTTGGGGCTAAGTGCATTGGGTGTTCCGTCCGGGGTTTTGCATCTGAAAGGGGTTGACCTTTCGTTGCATTTCCATACCTCGAGGTTTTACCAAAGCACTATCCCGGTGAGCCCGGGTTCTCCTTCATAGATCCGAACGTGTTGCAGCTGTGAGTGCGAGTTGCGAAAAAGTGTCGAGCACGAGCTGGTAGGTTGCTGCACAAGAGGGAATGTATACATGTGTAGAGTTTGGCAGGCTTGGGTGCACATGCATCATTCTAGTCTTGTTGCTGCTGTCCGCCACTTTGGCTCAAGTCTGATCCAAAACGGCGGGCAGCTGATTTTGCCCACCCACCCACCCTGATTAGACCCGGTCTCCCGTGGAGTCCCCCGGTCTAGTTGGGGTTGCGCGAGTTGCGACTACCTTGAGGTCCGAGGGAGTGACCCTCTTCCTGGGACGGGTGTTCCGTCCGGGGTTTTGCATCTGAAAGGGGTTGACCTTTCGTTGCATTTCGATACCTCGAGGTTTTGCCAAAGCACTATCCCGGTGAGCCCGGGTTCTCCTTCATAGATCCGAACGTGTTGCAGCTGTGAGTGCGAGTTGCGAAAAAGTGTCGAGCACGAGCTGGTAGGCTGCTGCACAAGAGGGAATGAAACAACGTCATCAGCGAACCCTCGCCCGAAGCCTAAGCTAATCATAATTTTCCGTGGACTCCGTGGTCAAGCTCGCATATTGAGCACATGTCGCAAAGAATGCGTCTAAGCAGGCTGTCCATGCACGAGGCAGAAGTCTGAAGCCTACGCCGCCTCACGGCGGAAATGAACTTCGAAGAACATAGTCGTGAATTCTACTTCCTGGTTCCCCTAGCTTCTGATGGCGCAGGCCCGCTGGATGGCGATGAAGAGATCTATTGCCTCACACCGGCCAGGGCCCCAAGGTTTCAAGTGCTCGCTGAAGTTCCGACGTGGCGGAACGAAGTTCAGGCTGCCAGCTGCCAACACATCACCTTCGCCGTTGCGGCTGAGTATGCCCTGTACTCTTCACCGCTTCTCGGCGGCAGGTGGATGCCTAACTGAAGGGAGAAGCTCTAGGTAGCGGCTTCGGGGCAAGCGCAGGCTGGGAGCTTGTCATGTCTGTCGCTGCCAGAAGTCAACCTCGCAAAGGAACCTGCTGAAGCTCTTAGATGCCGTGCCCGGTTCATCCCTGACAATCTTCTCCGGTACCACGTCAGCATTTCGTTGTTGCAGTTGCCTGGTGGTTCAGAATGAGATCAGATCGTCGTCAGACTTGGGGGTTTGCGTGAGTGTCGTAGAAAGGTCACATTCGGACAGCTGAGGCATGGGTTCTCTGGGTATCCCTCCCCGGACAATCCAGGCCTACCGCTACACAACAAATCTGCTGCAGTGCTGCAGAATGCCATGCACGAGGATGCCATGCCCAGTTTCGCTTGCAGGACCTCCTCACCACTTACGGGATCACGCGGTGTTTTCTCGATCTGAGGGTAACAAAGCCCTGCCGCACTTGCTCGCAGGGAGGGGTCTGCAGCTTGCAGTAAGAGTAGAAGTTGGCCGCGACCTTAGCGCAATCATCCAGGAGTCCGTCCGGCTCTCTTGTTGTACAAAGCTGCTGCTTCTCTTTCTTACTACTGTAGCCCATTATGCGAGATCCTCTGCGAAGCGCAGTGCCGGGAGATAGGCCCGCAAAAAGTCGGCATCCAGAATTGCAGAAGTGCTGTTGGACTTGCGACGCACATGCCCATCTTGAAGTGGTTCTATAGTGCAGGTTCGACCCCTTCCCCTTGCAGACCACTTCTGTCATGCCCCAAAAGATCTCTAATGTTCGTTGATTCGTTAGTTAGTCGGCTACAAGTATGACCAGCTGGGATGTTGAGTATCTTCTGCAACTGGATCCGTCTGGTTTCCACCCATGCGTAGCTCAGTGTGGAGGGGACTGTCGACACGTTGTTCCCTCCACTGGCAGCCCACTGCTAGCTTTGTGGGACAGACAGATTCAAAGTGGAGACAAATAAAACAACTGCTGAGCGCTTCTTGAGTGCTGCTGTTGTAGATATTACGTGGGTAGAAAGTAGAAGCCGTGTGATGCCTTGTGTAAAGAATGGCACGTGAAGCGAAAAAAGCTTATAACCAGTCTCTGCGCACTCCTGGAGCTAGTAGCAGCGGTCTCAACGGTTATAGTACGGTTATAGAAGCCACTGGCAGCTTTGCGAAGCCGACGATGACACTTACTACCGCTACGGCACCTGTAGGCATCTGCTGTTGCCGCCACTGGAACGTCGACTAGCATTGGCGCTAGAACGTAACGAACGATCTGACTACCCACCTAACCAACCAATTATCTAACTAGCTACACTTCAGCCACTATAACCTGCTGTACCACTACGACGACGAGGATCCCTGCCAGTACTGCTACTACTGCTACCGCTACTGCCACTGCTCCTAAACTTTAAGGAGACAGCGGCTCAGCGGGCAGCCGTCCTCACGGAGTTTGGAACCTTCGAGCTTCGGTGAGTCTGGCCGTAGTGTCGCCACTTGTCCTGGGCTGGGGGGGGTCGGCACTCGTAGAGGGCCAGAGCAGTTTGGAAGGGTGGAAGACTTGTCAGGGTTTGTCAGCCTGTGCTTTCGGTTTGAACAGGCCTTAGATTCGGCAGCGCGGTGGAAACTTGTCGGTGAGGCTGCGTGGCTGGGATTTGTGCCCTTGCTCCGGCGCATTAGATGGGGCGTTGTCTGTTTCTGCGGGTGCAAGCCGTGTTAGCTGACTCGTTGTGCGTGAACATGAGACCGTCTGAGGCAATTTTCCGGCTTGTTATTCGATGCAGTCCATGCACGAGATCCTGAGAAGGGAGCGCCACAGCCTGTTCCTGCCTGAGCGCTACCAAAGCCTGATATTTTTTGGTCTTCGTGTGGCAACACCGGCCTCTTCATTCATGGCATCAACAACACCCAGTTGGGGACTTGAATTTGTGTTGCCACATGCAGGGTGCAGAAAGGGAGTGCTGCGAGACTTGTGCGAGCTGGTTAGGCAAGACCTCTTGCCAGAATTTGGAAGTTATGTTGGCATGCCGTCAGCATTCAAAAGCTAGCATCTTCCATTTGAGGAAAGTCTCGCATCTGTCTTGCAATTGGGTTGCCGTTCTGTTGAGAGGCTCATACGCCACGTGCAAAAGTTGGTGAACATTTGGTCTGTCGGGCAGGGCATTCGCTTGTCCGCATTCATGAGCGAGGGCCTCTTCGTACTGTGCAGCATCACAAATTGATCTTATGCGCGAGTTTCTCAGCAGCTGCATGTCGTGGCAAAGCCCATCCCTCACAACACATTCCTGGCAAGAGGGGCTCGCAGATTCTTAGCAACCCCGATTGCCCACTTGCTCCTTTGGCAGCAACGCTTAGTGTGTGTTATACGAGAAGATGGTCTAGCTCTGCTTCTGCACTTGAACGACGCACAGCAGAGCGAAGATCCATCTGCTTTCGAACGCCGCTGTGCCAAGTCTTGTGTAACATCGCCTAATCTAATCAGACGAATCCCTACAGCAACGAGGCAAAATCAACAGTGGCCACCCATTGTTAATTTGAGCACTGTTGCTAAAGCGGCTCGTGGAGAGAGAGAGGCGCAGTTCAACTTCGCTGCTGAAACCAGCGCTGCCGTGCTGCTTGCTTCTTAGGTCCTAGGTCGTGTGCACGGCAGAAACCTACGTAAGCCCTCCGGCCAGCACGGGAAGAAAAGGAGGGCAAGGGCTGAGCCTGGGTGATCCAAGACAAATCATGCAGGCAGGGCAAAGGGCGCAGCTTCGCACTCGCACGACTACCGGTTCTGGCCCAGAGCATAAGTCGAACATGAGCGATTCACGACAGAAGCAGACCGCTTCAGATCCCACCTGCGCAGATGTCGAACGTCACACACGCACAGACAGACAGAGAGTTCCACTTTGGCGATATGCGTCGAAGGTAGCCTTCCGAGGTTCTCGCAAGCCAGTTCATGTGCCCAAGCCCTCATCGCCCCTAGAGCACAAGCCGGTCGCTATGGCGGCCATGTTTTGCTAGCCACAGCACTGCCAGGTGAGCATGAAAGTAGCAGTGACCTGCATGCCGCCTGTCCCGGGTTGGACTGTCCACTTTCTTTGCAGTCTCCGTGAAATCCTTTCGTGTGTGCGCGTGTGTCCAGACGTTGAGTCTCAGCAGGCCGGCTTCATCCAGGATGGTGGGTGAGCCGTTTCGGCCGATCAGCTCCGCGATTGAAACTACTTTTCAGACGGGAGCACTGCAAACCTCTTCCTGTTTTCAAGTGAGCTCAAACCCATGGGCGAAAGCCACAGCCACTGGCCACTGCTCTCTGAGTCACTGAGGCCCCCAGACCGAGTGGCAGGCCGGTGCTTTTGTAGGAAAGGGGCTGCAAGCAATGCCACCAAACAACTGCAACTTACAACTCTTTTGCCCGAAGGTGTGCCCGACTTGCCTGCATTGTCCCAGCTGCTAGTGACTTGCTTGTGCCGATGCCATGATTGCAAACTGCAAAATGCAGCAGTCGTCGTGATCCCTTGGGTGGTGCGATCATTTCGAAACCAGGGCTCCACCTTGGCTGACTTGGCCCGCTCATCGAAGAGGGCGAGTCGCTTCCCCGACAAGAATGGCCGCCTCCCCACGCCTGCCTACAAGAAGCGCAGCTTGGCGGGAGCCACCTTTTAGGTACAGGGCTTACTGCCCAGTGCAGAGACAGATAGCCCGACTGTGAGAACCTCCTTGAACGCTCATATCAGCACCAGCTAAAGCAATTTGCACCTTCGCTGTTGATTGTTTTGGCATCAACAGACCTCCGACACGACGACATGGTCCGCACAGGTCCCATACACAGTGAGAATCGTGAGCTTCCTCCGAGTTGCCCAAGATGCTGACACCTGGGAACTTCATTCGTGCCTACATACATACACGCACATGCTGGTGATTGTGTACAGCAAAGGCACCGGCCCCGCCATTGAGCTCCTTGGCGACAGCTTCGCCACCATTGACGAGGAGGCCAGCGGTAGGATGCTACGTGGTTTTCAATACTCGAAGCAAGAGGACGGGTCAGACAGGAGGCACGTCAAGCATTTCGCACCTAAAGTCTACAAAGCTGTGGCTTTCAAGCCCTCGTCCGCCACCACTTTGTTTCTCTTGCTTCGTCGTGTTCACCGTTGTCAGTACAAGAGAGTACAAGGGTTAGCGACGTCATCGGGCAGGACAGCAGTAGTGAGTCGTCCTTTGGCGACCAAGACGACGAGGCATTCCCAATGCCGTGCCAAGGCTGCAAGTTTCTTGCAACAGACCGCCTTGAGTGAAGCATGTGCGCAGACAGGTGTCTGCGCAGTTCATCTGATTGCTCTGAGGCGTGGTCCACGACGTTTGTCAAAATTTTCCCGACACAGCAGCTCCTTTGGACTAGCATGTTTGCAGCTTGCTGTTGTTTGTGCACTTTCACCCTCTTCACGTCTGGGAATCTGAGTCTACTCCAGGTGTCGATGAACAGCTAAAGAAGAAAACGCAAAGCCTTCTGCCGGACATTCATCTGGTGCTGGAGCGCTTGCGTAGTGGTGCTGAAGGCCCAGCGACGTGCATTGGGGAGAGCTGCAGGGTGTGAGGAAGAGCGAACAGTCACAGATCGAGCTGAACCGAGATCGCAAGTTTGGCAGTTGACGCTAGACATCCTGAAAAAGAACACGGTCAGTAGCATGACGGCCGCGAGCTTGACATTCACGACCCTGAGCCGCACACCCGTGTCGACAATCCAGACATATTATGTTCTCATGCCGAGGTTATTTCCATCAAACTGAACCAACTGAAACGCTTGTCTGCGCCATTCAGCCCTCGTCGGTTGTCTGCACGACGCAAGCCGAAACCCACGTGACTCTCGGTGGAGGTTCGTAGAACTTGCAGACATGTCCGAGCAGTGAAAGAGTCGCCACTCGCGTTCCTGTACTGAGCGAGTGACTTGTCATGCCAATCAGGACCCGCTTGTCGAGTTATGAGGGCCGAGACAACAAACCCCTACGTACTGTAGTAGGTTCGTTCTAGCCAGGCGGCAAAAAACCTCACAACTGCACACCGTTGTCGTATTGAGAGCATCAGCATCTCATGCTGCACCTCGTAAGCCCCGGGCCGTACACCCAGTCGACGAATAGCATATTCTGGCCTGAGAAAACAGCTTTGAGGGTGCAGGGTGGTGTGCTCGATTCGGCGCTTGGTTTTTGTTGGTTAGGTTTTTTGTCGATTTCGCAGGGAGGTTGTAGCATGGAAACAACTCCACAACTCTAGACCTCATGAATCCGTGTCTGCCCGGTGCGAGTGTGTGAGTCGAAACCTTATATATATATATATATATATATACACACCTGATATAGACTCTGACAACAAACCAGAACCATCAAATGACCCTGACCCCCTGAATCGTCTGGCATTCTGACTTCTTGCAAGGAGGCAAAGGGGCGTCAAAAAACAAAAACCTCAACCCCGAAACCCTAAACGACCCTTTTCATGCCAGGCCTCAGCGAGTCAGAGCTGGAACGCT